ATATGTGGCTCCATGTCATGTGATACAAAATAAAATGTAATAAAAGAAGTACATTTGTGGTATTTTTCATGTCTTCACAATGGTGAAATATACAGTCATTTTCTCTCTGTCATATATGCAACAATGTATAGTAAAAGATAGGATTGTTCTTTGTCATTAAGGTCAATAAATAATCAAATCAAAACAGTTCCAAGTATTGAACAGTTGCAATAAGAGAAACACAGGTTTAAAAAAGGAGAATTGTTTAAAAATTGTAAAGGAGAATAAATTCAAACAAACCACGAAGAACCTGTCTGAAGATCTACTGTAATTTTAAACTATATAGCCTTTAAATTCTTAGTTTCTAAGGTATTGCCCTTCAGGAGATTATATAAGGCTTGCCTCCAAGGGAAATTAATAAGAAAGGAAGAATGTCGTGCAGAGTTGACACATACTCAACACAAACTGGGGAACTGCTCCTTCATTAAATCTCTGGGCGAGTGTAGCTCTCCAGAGGACGTTTTGAGGAACTGCAACCAAGAACACACGGTGCAGCTCCATCACAAAGACAAACAAATCCACGCTTCAAAAAAGAACTGAATCAAATTGAAAATGTGTTCCAGTAAAGTCCCAGCTGGATATTTAATGGACTTACAGCTGGTTTATCCAGTTAAATTTGGAAATTCATACTGGTAAGTCTCCTCCCCATGACGTATTCAGACAGTAAAGTTACGGTAAAGTGTTAAACATGAATAATTCAATGCCTCATTTGGCGCAACAAAATATGTTGTCTGAGGACAAGTTTGCTATTCTTGGCTTTGGGGCCTTTCAAAGATCTGGTCTGTGCTTTAGTTGTCAGTCTTGGTGTTTTTGCCAAGTACTGCCAGGTATTTTGTTTCAACTCAATGAGGTGATTAAATTTAATTGCCAAAAGGCTACTCATAAAAGTGATTTGAAGTGACATGAGTGGACTCAGCAGAAAATAAATCTTGTTCCAGTATTTCGTGCTGCTGGCAGGACTGGCAAAAATGTTGTGTTTTCATTCAGGTCACTGGAGATGACGCAAAAAAAAAAAAAAAAAAAAAAGAGGGGGGAAAAAAAGGATCACGCACAGTTAGATGAGTGTAGATGTGTTTCATTATAAGACAATTTTAAGAGCAACCACTTGTTAATATTAAAATGATGGTTAATCATAACATCATCATGAGAGTGCTGATGTTTAGCAAGTAATAATTACCAGGTTCTCTATTTTAGTTTAGCCTGTTAGCATGCTGACATTTGCTAACTAGCACTGAACACAAAGTATGGTCGGGGCTGATGGAAATGCCATTATTTTGTGTCACTGAAGTCGGGATTCATCCTCTGGGGATGATGGATGTCTGTTTTAAATGAAATGGCAATCCATGCACTCGTAATGGAGATATGTCAGACTGGAAAAACAATAAACAATAAAACTATTTTGGTGTGAAATGAGGTAAAAAAGTTTTTTTCATACATTTAAATTTGGTGGATTATAAGTAAGTAATACCACACAAGACACACGGACGCATGATTGATTTGCTGACTGTCTTTTTTTTTACATTTGGAAGAAAATACAAGGCTTTGACGGTCTATAACAGAACTTCAGACAAATCTGTCTGGTGTCTGATCGTATGGGGGTTTTAAGTTTACTGTACAATCATTCTCATTCCTTAGTCATGTGTATTAAACCACAACTATTTCCTGTGCCGACAAGACATTGCCAACCCTATTCATTCTCAGTGGTGCACTAAAAAAATGTTTTCACCAGATGTGGGGTGAACAACAGAAAATGTTCTGTTGGTGCTGAAAAAAACGGGGGGCAAACTCAATCGGCTTACTGGAATTGACCAAAGCTGATATTCCAAGAAATTTCCCCTCCCTTGTTCCAATTTTTTTGTCTCCCTGTATCATCTACTTCAGAAGCAAAGTATTTCCATCTGCGTCATGTTGTAAAGAAGCAATGTGGTTGAGTGCCACAGCCCTGACTGGACGAGCGAAAGAGTTTGTTTTGGCAAGCAACATTATATGATTCTCGCTCTCTCAAACTATTGACCTTAATTAAAGTTCTGGGAATCTTGTACTACTGGCTTGGCAAATAGGAAATTGGGTCTCAATTAATGCTGAGTTCAAAGGGGAGCCTGTGCAGACAACAGTAGGGTCAAGAACGATGAGTATGTGAAAAGAACAAAGAAGAAGAATCTGTTTCCTGGAATAGTTCACGGCTCAGTGACTGAAATATAATTAATTGACTATCTGCAGAAGAATAATTATTTAGAGTAAATAAAGTTTGCTCATAGTTATTAAAAAAAAAAGATAACTGCATAAAAACCTCACACTCATGTAGACATCTCAGACTCAATAAACACATGCACCAGTGCCTCCTCTTTCTTGTTGTGTTAATAAATTTGACCATAGACTAAAATTCAAGCTATTTCCTGTATAATTAGTTTTGTAAGTACATAATATAATTTCAGTTAGTTTTAGTTTTTTTCTAACGTCTAGTTTTTATTTTAAATTCAAACTAAAATATATTTTTTCACACTGAGTGCACCTAGCTTTTAGTTTACCTTTAATCAACTATAAGAAACTTGCGCAACACCTTTTGCACAATAACCAGAAATTACCATAGAAGGGATTCCCTCGATGTGAAGAAGGTGGAAACATCCTCCAGAAGTTGTGACAAAAAACCTTTAATTGTCAACAAGAGCAGCTTAAGGACAGTTTACCTCTCTGACTGGAGGATTCCACGTACATAAATGTGTTTTGGAATTTCTGGAGAGGCATGCAAGACATGCACGTCTCTTTGTTGTCTCAGTATGTCGTCAAGTAGAGAACTTAACTGTCTGATCTATTGTCTGTTTCTGTGTGACTAATGTTTGCCTTATTTATGCTTCATACTTTTCCAGCCTCTCATTCATTCCAGCCTTTTTCACACTGTTAGATATGTCACCGTTCCAGAGCTCACCCTTTAGAAAAGTCATGACATTCTTTTGTTTTTGGATTTTGAGGAGAATTTCACTCAGCTCTTATCGAAAATAGTAAGGCCCGGGAAATAGCCATAGCACTGAGGAGCTTGGAGGTTGGACACTGACAGTCTTAGTCTCCTTTATAAGACTTTTTTTGGCATCAACACACAAATAGGGCACACCTGCAGGTCAGACAAGTGAAGAGAAGCCTGAATGCAAGATCTAGCTATAACCATAGGGTGAGAGCTTTTCAACATGGAGGCTTTGCATGTCACAAACAGAGGAATGAGGCCTCCTTTTTAGCCTTCAGCTTGCTCCATTTGAGCCAACAATATAGTGAGTGGAAAGATTGAAAGACAATTAAAATAAAGTATTAAGCTCAGCTAACAAGCTAACGACGTGTTAGCTAGACGGGGAGAAGGCCTATTCAGCTCAAGCTAATAGCATGTTAGCAAGAAACTGTGTATTCAGCGCTGGTGTTGTGTCTCAGTTAGCGCTCGGTCAGTTGAGAGCGTTCGGGATTCAACACAGTGAACTTCTATCAGGGCTCGAGGAAGTAGTACCAAACTTTTTATTTCACAATCAGGTGTCGTGAAAATCTATGTTGACATAATAGGGCAGGACTTTACAACAGCCTTCAGTTTGCAAACGGTATCTTCATCTAACTAAATTCTCCACTGACTGGCTTATCCTTCACAAACAAAAAGGTTCTCAGTTCACTAGTTAGTGAGCTGAACTGAACTCTTGGCCATGTTTCAGTTCAGTGAGTGGGACTACGCAGTCGGAGCTCTGGTCAAGCACTGAACGATTCATTGAACAAATCTTTTTAATTAACTAATTCTACTGAAAAGAACTGCTTTGCCCATCGCTGGCTCAACTAACAAGCTAACAGCACATTAGCGAGGTACTGAGCATTCAGCACAGATAGGAAGCTAACTGCACATAGCTCAGGTAGCAGGCTACTGCTAGCCAAAAACAACAGCCTCACCATAAAGTGTTATTGTAAAAATAAAAAATAAAAATAATATAACACAAGCTCACTCAAATGTATTTGCTGACTTAACTGGGTTAATAATTTAAGTAAACTTCTGTAAGAGTGACTTTGCCAAATGGAACAAGAAGAATACTTTTACTTTGTTGTTGGTCACAACAAGGGAACTCCCACTGGGGAAACACTGATTTAAGATATACGCATACAAAGAGGAACATTCCTGTAGTACGCAGCAAAACCTCTCTTCCATTGCCTACACACTCACACGCTTAGTGGAAGGAACATTAGGCCTTCAGACAGACCTAAAAAAACACCTCGGGAAAGCGCCACAGTTTATGAACTGCGCGTGTGCCGTTATTATGTTTCTATTTTTAACTTCTTGCTGCTGCTTCTGTCTCTAACAACAATACAAACAATAAAAACAGGTAGAAAACGTCATAAGTACCACGTTCCAGCAAAGAAAATTCCATTCCATGTATATCTCAAAATAAGATAAATAGTTTCAAAGACACATGTAAAGAAAATCCACGGAGGACGATCGTAGGCAACAAGATGATGACTCACTTCCTTTATTATATAGCCTATTATAAGATGAATAAATTCCAGTTTGTCATGTAATATTAAAATGCATTTCACGTATGTATAAAACGGCATTTACGTAAATGTTTGTTTCACAATTCTTCTCAATGTTATCATCCGTTTCTTTATTTGTTTGGTTGTGCACATGGGTATTAGTGGGTTGGCACAGCATGATGCCAGCTCAAGCTACAATCTACCTACACATGTTCCAGTACTTAAAAGTCAAAAATGTAATTGTGACATCAAAAACAGGCTAATACAAGCAGACGCATGTCCATCAAGAGAAATCCTCTAACAAGAAAACAAAACTGATCTATCTTTTTTTATAGCTTGTCCTGTGGATTTCCTGCGTAATCACAGTGTGCTGATAAGCTGACCTGTAAGGGTCAGGCTCAGGTTTGAGTCGGGGAGGAGGAGAAAGGAGGGGAATGGATGCAGGGCAAGACTCAAGTTCAGAGCAGACTATTTAAATGAGGGAAACCTGCAAAGAAGCATGTGTCATCTCTCTGTCATTCAATGTTACAGGAGCAAAGCCACAAGTCCATAACACAGGTAAGACTATTATATATTTCACAGTATATATATATTTGTGTATAATAGTGATAACAACAATACAAGCAATACTCTGTTTCTATTCAGCTGAAGACATTTAAAAAGGAAAAAAATATTTATTTGCAATGCGAAAGGAAAGCTAACTTTGTATTTATTTTTAACTACTTTTTTAAGGATGCACGTCACTCTGGCCCTTCTCTATGTCTCTCTTGTGGTGATGCCGGGATGTCTTCCCACAAATGGAGAATCTATCAGAAATACCATAAACAGCATAGTAAACATAGCTCAGATAACCCTGGTCCACATTAAGAAGCTAAAGACAAAGGTATGCACAGTGCTTAATGTACACATAGTCTCAGAACACTTGGTAATGTAATTGTATAAGTAATACATCATCAAATTCAAGATTAAACTGAACTGTCTATTGATATACAGCTTGTGTTCTTTTCCATAGTTGCCAGTGGCTCCACAGATAGAATTCAACACTCCTTCCATTGAGGGACTAACTAGTATCACTCATGACCTTAGACTTTTGGATAATGGACTGCAGAGCCCTTTCACAGACCTCCTCAGCCAGATCCAGGCTGATGTCTCCAGCTTGGAGGGAAGGGTGCACTCCCTGGCCCAGACAATGGACTGTCCCATCCGGGCCAGACCCGAAGGAGAAACCAGTGACAATTTGTTCCCGGACAGTCACCTTTACTTGACTCTGATGAAGGTGCAGCGTTACCTGGAAAAGCTTCTTCTCAACAAGGACAAACTCAAGGTCTGCTGAGAAATCCACACCTATAAGCACACATATGCTAAGTCTTATTTGCACAAATAGCTCAGATAATAATGTAATTTGTCTTTGCACATACTACTATTCTTTTTATAAAATGTATCTTATTATCTTCTTTCACATAATGATGTAATGCTCAAAATTGCTCTTTCTCTGGTTTCTAAGTTGGCATGTAATGCAAGTAGCTTTTGAGATGCATATTTTTAATTTATGTACTACAAAGATTTTATAGAATTTTGAAAAATAATTGAACTGTAGGCTTATTTTATCTGATATGTAGACTTATTTATATAACCTGAATTATATTTAAATTGTTTTAATATTGGGGGGGGAGAGATGTTTCAATGTTTCAATTTAATGGTATGGTTTCCAATTTAAAACATGTTTTGTATGTTGGTATGGTTATTCTATTATGTGCAAGATTTAGGAGGAAAAAGTATTCAGTGAGTATGTAATGTTAATGGTATTTGATTTGAAGTGCAATGTTTTTGGTAATATTGTATCTAGCAGACACATTAAGCTTATGGTCAATAGGAAATGTATTTGTTATATTAAACATTTTAGTCAATATTTGTTGCCTGTTTTTTTATTTATTCTATGACAATGTTTTAATGTTTAGTGTCAAGGCATAATTTTTACAATATTCTTATTACTTGTGTGTTATTTTGAAAACAAATTAAATGGTTTAGAAGTCTGGTCAACCACCTCTGGAGAAAATAAAAACAGCAAATTACAATTATATTTTTATTTACATGCTTTAATAATAATATTAATACAATAATATGTGTTGATTAAACTTAATTTCAGTCTTTGAGTTTACTCAAATAAAGTAATGAATCAGTGTCAGGAGAAACCAAAAAATCTTAAATTTAAATGTGTCTTCCTGTAAAATACACATAATATGAGTAATGACAAAATAACACACCAATGCGAAACACCAAACTGAAATAGTCAAATTTGAATGAGAAGCCTATATTAAAAAGGATTAACCAAGTATAACTAACCGAGTATGTGTTTTATATTTTGCACTTAAATGGTGGTCATATTGGACCAGAATATTTCTACAGTCTACATGTCCTCAAGAAAATAAATTATCGGATGATTATTATTTTATACAGTGAACTTTTTTATTATATTTGTTCTGAAATTTTAAAAAAATAATAATATTTCATCTTTTTTTATTAATTTCATGTACTTTTTTCAGTTATTTCATCACCGAGCAATGGATGAAAAATGACTTAAATTATACAAAATATGATTATGATGGCCAAAAAAAAATCTAATATAAAAATACTAAATAAATCATAACAGTAGGGAGAAATAATTATTTGTAGATTACTACAAAGAATTATCTCTCATAGAACATGAATGTTCCAATAAAGGCTGAACTCTCATCATCATCAGCGCGGCCTTGTGACACATACACAGCTGTAACGTGTTACCGCACATTGAATACCTCAGCCCTCACATTAAAAATGGGGAGCGCTCACAGTTGCATTTAACGCTTTTATACATGAGACAGATGAGGATTGAAATTATTTTATACTATATTATCCTAACATTCTGTGGCAAAATTAATCACACATTAATTCACATTAAAATGGAGTGAAAATAATTAATTCAAATATGAATTTAAAGAGAAGGATCTGTGCCAAAGAGGATCAGTCACTGCTCTGCATTACACACACGGGGATGTGAAAATAGGTTTTGGTACGCATTCCACAAACTTACCATTGAGAACAAAAGTATTTATACAATAACACTGCACAGTACATACAGTATCTATAAAAATATGAGTCATCAATAACAAAAAAATAATAAAGTTTAACTGTCTTTGTTTTGTTTTCTTCCCGGGTACCCAGTGTTGCATTTGTGATTTTGAGTTGAGTTGAAGAGTAACGGAGTGCATTTTATGGGATAAAAAAACCAATCACTTATAGAACTTCAAAGCAAATTAGAATGACAAATCAGGATTGTATTTAGGCACAAAAAGAGACTCAAAACTACGATTGGCTGCACAATATAATCCAGAACCAGGAGAAGGGAAAATAAAACAATAATTAGTCAAAAGTCTTTTACTTGAGGCACAATCTAAAGCTTGTTCACTTTTATATTAGTTGATAGTAGTTTTTAAAAATGACTTTTGGAAAAAAAAGATCTTAAAGTTAATACAAAATGGTCCTTATACCTCACAAAGAGCGTTACCACAAATGAGAACAGCTTTACACATGCAACTCAAACTGATGAGAAGAATATATTATACAAGAAATATAGACACATACATTGAAAATTTACTATTTTGTGTAAAATGTGGCTTTCACAACTCTCATATTCATCCCCCCTTGTTTTGTGAACAAAACTTGATAGAGACCCAGCAAAGGATATCTGTTTAAGTGAGTTTATTAAAAAAATAAATAAATAAAGCATTCACTTTTATTCCAGAGAGCTGAGAGTACAATTCAAAACATAGGTAGAGAAACCATACATGTACCACACGGACATGGGAAGATCTGATGAAACAGTCACAAAAGCCGTAAAGCCCCTTGTACTCCATGTATTCTGACTTAATCCATCCATACAAATGCAATACCAGCAGTTTGACCAGCAGATGTCACTATTTTGACTGCATCAAATGCTTTGAAACTTTTAGCACAATTTCTTTATATTGATTTAGAGCTTCAGAAAGCCAAGTTTCCACCAACAGTACTTAACATTCTGAGTTTAGGATTCTGCACGTACCCATGTTTTCCCCCAATCACTCACCTTTCTTCTAACCCACAGCCATTCACTTAAACTGCCTGCAGTGTCTGCCATGTTGTTCACTGCTGGATGTAGGGCCCTTTTACACTCAGTTCAGTTAATCTTTTTCTACTGCATCCTCCAGTACTGTCAACTTCACAAAATACACAACATGCTGTTTTTCTGACTACAATACAAAATCAGTGGTAGATCTCCTGAGATCTGTTTTCCTAAATCTCAATTTCCAGTCCTTCCCTGCTTTTAGCTGCCCTATATCATAACTGTTTAAAATCACTTGCTGCCTGACCTGCTCATCCTCACACACAAACAAAAACCCACTACACGCAATGTAAATCTGATGTAGCAGCAGATACAAAACCTCAAAGTTGCCATAGTTTGATTCAGTCAGTATTAATAGTAACAGTTGGCCCAGCCATTATTGTACATGTTCTAGTGGGAGATATCAATTCAAGTGAATGAGCCTCTAAAAGTCTGGTAGAGTAGCCACAGTGATAAACAGAATCACTAGGTTTAGAACAAGAGCCATCAACAAAAAATCACTTCATCTTCAAAAGGAGTGGCAGACAATTCAGTTCTGCAAGCTGACTTTCAAACTATTTAATGCATGAGGAGCAGACAGTGTGTTTTGGAGAGTTTATGTGTAACAACTGTACTGGATTAGATGTGGTGGAGGTTGAGATAGTCAGGCCGCAGTAGCAGTCAATGTGTTTTCATAACCACTTCTTCTTTGTGCAGTCATGCACTGTAAAGTTAAGTTGTTCAATGCGGTGGTAACCCGATGTGTTGTGTGCAGAGTAAGAGGATGTGAGAACAAATCATTGTATTTGCAGCAAAAGCTCCTAAGCAAGCTGTAAGTGGTTTTGCCATATACTCATGAGAGTTGGATAAAGACAGCAGAAACAGATGTCCTTGTCCTTGTCCTTGTCCTGTTCAGGCTTATAACATATCAGGATAAAATATTAGCTTGTATGTTGTAGGTGTGTCTTGTGGTGAACATCCACAAGGGTTGTTTATCAACTGGTCAGTGTATTTCTCTGGACTATGGCGTCAGTGTCTGCATCAGTTTGAAGAGAAGATAATTATTTGTTGGAACATTTACAGAGAATCCCTTCTTTGTGAATGTCAGTGAAAAGGAAAATTATACAATTCACAGCAAAACTAATCACTGGAAGGTTCAAAAGCACCAGTTAACTTTAAATAGAAAAAATGCAAATGTGTAGGGGCTCCTGTCTGTGGGCAATGGGTATCCCTATTTATGTTGTGGATTCCATGTCAGCTGCTGACATGCTGAGGACTTTTCCTGCTGGGCACTTCTTTGTGGCTGCCAGTCAGTGTGGGAAGCTTGAGCAAGCATCGTGTGGCATCAGCAGCAGCCTCTTTTTCTCGCACAAATTTGAAAAATTAATCCAGTCATTCAGTCATGTAAATGCAATTCTAGCATTCTAGCAACATTCTCCACACTTGGGGGAGGATGCATATTGGCCAATCATGTTTAAAAAATCAGGCAATTCATCAGTCAATGGCATGCAAGCATCCTTGACCCATGTTTTCGTAAACCTCATCACAAATGCACCAGTGGATTCTCCTGATCTCTGTTTACAGTTGGCATCATGTCTCATTTGGATTTGTTCATTTTGGTTAAGATCTGTCCAAAATGTTGTCATATCGGTGGGTTTAGCCCAAACAAAATTGCTGACTTATCTATCACTTTTATCTTTCTAAGTACAAAGCAAATGCCCTTCAAGTGAAACCTTAACATGGATAAGGACAGCACCCTTCCTTCTAAATATAAATACCCAGGACAGGGTAAACACACCCTTACTGTAAAATACAAATCCATCAGACAAAGAAAGACTCTGCCTTATACATACATTAAAATATTGGAATCCTGGAGACAGGTAAATCACTCAAAATAATTTTGTGACTCACTTCAGTCAAGGACTTCTGACAGCAAGTTGTTGTGATCTGTTATTTCAGTACCTGCTGGCTTGACCACGGAGAGTTTGTCAGCCTGCCACAGAGCTCTCATCTCTGTTTAAAAGTGATCAATAATTATTATACAAGCATTGCTTGTAATCAGACGGTATCATCCTGGCCTCAGATTGAATCCATCCATACAAATGCAATACCAAAGGTTTGGCCAACAGATGTCGCCCTTTTGGCTATAGTTCAACGAAGCCAAGTTTCCCCCTACACCAGTTAACATTATGAGTTTAGGATTCTGCAGTTGCCTGTGTTTTCCCCAGTCACCCACATTTCTTCTAACCCACAGAAATTCACTGGAACTAGCTGCAGTGTCTGCCATGGACCCTTTTATACCCAGTTCTCTTAACTGCTGCCAACTTTATAGACCTAAGCTTTTTCCTCTCATGGGCCATTACTGCATCCTCCAATAGCAGTGTCAGCTGCACAAAATACACACCCCAACAAACAAAATCCCACTAAGCACTACGATGTAAATCTGATGGTGATTTTCTGTTGAAATAAATAGAGCAAATACAAAAAACAGGTGCTGCTAGGAACAGTTTTATTTCACATAATGTGCAGAAACCAGATCTCTGGTATCAAGTGTAACAACAGTATCAACATCCCTGTGCAAAACAAGCAGCACATAACAGAACCTCCACAGTCATCTATTTAATATTGCATATCACTCCAAATGTAATCTCAACAACAGTAGAGTCATACAATTGAGGGTGCTCAAAAAGAACAAATGTCTTAAATTAAATTACTGTTAATAATTCCAAAGCTGCAAGATAAAATAAGTGCATTCTCTTTGAAATAATAAAGCAGCTTACAGTTTTAAAACTGTCAAACTAAACCTTTACTCCTGCATCAGTTGAAAGTTTCGCATTGCCTGAGCAATTGGGCAGTGAGTTCAAGAATTTATCCAAGGTCAAGAGGTAGTCTTCCGGGTGGCATCGCATGTGGGCTGCATGTATCGATTCCTTCCACCTTTTGCTCTCCACAGTCACGCCCCTCTTCCTCCATTGGTCCATACAATTCTCAACGACAACTAGGTTGCACAGGGGATCGTTTTCACTGGAGAAGAAGAGGGCTGGTGCAGTAATTGGGGTGTTGTTGAAAACCTGGATGCTGTTGTCATAGACATCTGCTGTGTGGGTTTTGAAGAGCCAGAAGTAAAGCATGGCGGCATTTTTGACAAAGCCTTCGAAACGTGGCACCAGAGTCTTGCCAAGGCCTGAATAAAAACAAGAGACAGAGGGTTAATATTTCATAATGAAGAGTACAATTACATATATGCACAACACAGTACTGTACAGGGCTGGGTAACAAACAATATTATATTCCATTTCTGCCTATACATCCTCCTGAATGTTACACACTGGACTTTTAAGCCCCTGGTTTTTCTCTTTTTTATTTCTTTTGGCCTACATTTGGTTATTTTGGCAAATTGGCACCATTTGAAGTATACCAAATTAGCTATAAGCAGTTCCGGTTAACAAAATGAAAATCCTTAGTTGCAGCTCAAATCTATTAACTAACTTTAATTCATTCTGAATATGAATGATCATGATGAATGTATACACTGCAGGCGCTGTCCTAAGGGAGGTTGGAAACAAGCTGCAACAAGTAATTCCTGAACTTCTGATAAACTGGATTAGTGGGTCAGCTGGCTACAGAATTATTTAAAGGTCTGACACACATTTCCAACACAAAGGTAACCTGAGCCGGATCACTCTCACTCACCAATCGCCATGTGCTCCAGAGTGCCAGCCACTAAGCTGTCATAGATGTGCCCTATCACCCTCTGGGCCAGCACTGTGTGTTTTTTCGGCCCCTGGCTGACGTGGGCGAGCATCTGGGTGAAAGTGTAGCCACCGATAGAGGAAGCGTGGACCAGCAGCGCCCGCTCTGAGAACTGAGGCTCCTCCAGAACTTTCAAAACCTCCAACCCGTAGTCGAGCCCCCATCGAGGCCACAGGAAGTGCATTACATTGCTCCGGACTACGAGGACATCTATGCCACGGTCCAGGTATAAGTCTCTGTACTTGGCCACTGCCCCTGGCTGGGCACCGAGCCAGGAGAAGAACAGAAGGAGGGGGCGGGGAGGGAAGGCAGATTCTGATTGGTTTTGGGACGAGGCAGGTGTGTGTGAAGGTGAATCTGAGAGCAATGGAGAGGTGGAAGGATCTACAGAGGAGTCACTTAGGGCTGAGACTGGGCAAAGAGCAGCGGCTGTTTGAGAGTCTTTGGCAGGACATAATGTCTTGTCCCCTGCCTCTGAGAACGGAGCGTAATAATAAGTTATGCTGCTGCTGATCCTCCGACGTACGAATCTCCCTCCACTGACACTGTCTGCAGTCCTGAAGAAGAATGAAAAACAAACCAAAATCAGTGATTATTATAATAAGAAATGTATACTAGATAATATTGGGTTTGCCACAGTATGAGGCGTAAATACAACAAAGCACAAGTTACTCCATTACCATTTTAAAATGTTAGAAATGACATGCTATAATGTGCTATTTTAAGTAATGCAGCTTTTTCAGCTCATCGGAAGTTACTAAACTGTACAGCATTCATTTCACTGCAGCCATTTTCACATGAAATAGTAGGGTAAACACAGGCGCTAATGACACAAATTAAAGGCTCTGTTCCATTTAGTGTAGCAGAGCCTTTGCAGTGAGCCAACATGCACTATAGCCCTGACTCTGTTTGGCCTTGATGCTCATTGAAATGGGTGCAGAATGCGAATGCAGCACAGCATCAACCCCACCCCCCTCCTTTTTTAATGGTCCATGCAAGTTCAGACAGGTCACACACACACACACAGGCAATAATGCAGCAACATCATATCATTCTGTTACCCTGAGAAGAGCGGCAGGTTTCCCATTCCTGGTCCTCCTGGCTGCTTGAAGAATCACTTCGGTCGGCTCTGCTCTGCCACGGCACCGGCTTCTCTCAGTAACGACTACTACTTCTTCTTCGCGGTGTCTTCTGGCGGTCGGCAAACAGCGACATGGTGAACTACCCGCCCCCCCTCGGCCCCCCAAGCGTGTGCGTCTTCTTCTTCCTCCCTGGGCTTTACGGCGGGTTGCAACCAGCGTTAGGGTGCGTTAACGCCACCTAGTAGTGCGGACCAGAGCTATCTACCCCATAACCAAATAAACAACAATAATAAAAATAATGATAATACAAATAAAGAAGTGGTAGAAGAAGTGCTCACATCTTTAACTTCAGTAAAAGTAGTAATAAACAAGCAAAAAAAAATTTAAATCTTACTTCCCAAAATTAGAAGTGCTGGCTTGTTTCTATTGCTTACATCAGAATGTATTAGTTGAGTTATGTTTTTTTATTTATATTAGTATTAAAACATTACACTACTGGAATGTTTAATCATTTTAAAAACTATTATTTAAAATATAAAATAATGTGTTTAGGTACTGTTTCATCGGCTCTTACCACCCTTTACAGCGCCTCTGCAGTCCTCTGTGAACATGCACTTTGCGCCCAGTGCAAGCGAAGCGACTCACTCCCGTCAAATTACCACTGAATTGAAATAACGCAGAAAAAGTTGCTCATAAAACAATGATACTATAACTATTGCTATTACGACTAACGTCACATAGCAATAAAGAGCTATCTCTGGGCCTATTTATGGTCGTACTCGTGGTCAGAACAAGTCATTTTAATAAAGTCACCCTGACCTGCCACTTCATCTAAATGGGGAAACATTAAAGGTCATGAATGTTCTGACCTACTAATCCAATAACTGCAATACATGCCAGTGCCACAAGATGAAGCCAGAGACTAACACAGTCAGTGTTAGTCTACAGAAAGAAGTCACTTGCGCTTTAGTGGATGTGTTCACTGCAGCTTGTATAGACTCAGTGATATTGATTACTTATGAAAAGTGGTCATGTTATGAGCATTGGATGTCTCCTGAAGTGATTTGGGCCTCATGGGGTTCATGAGTTAAAATCCTCCATAGTTAAGTAAAAAGAACCATATTTTCCTCTGAAATGTAGTAAAGCAGAAGTATAACGTAGCATAAAATTAAAATACTCAAGTACAAATAACTCAGAATTCGATTTAAGTACAGTACTTGAGTAAATGTACTCAGTTACAACATGTCAGAATTTATTCCTTTAATTTATTTGTCATTGTTCAAACTTAGTATCTTTTTCCACTGTGTCTTATTCTAAAGTGCTACATAAATAAAACTGGTATATGTTACATTGTTTTGTCTTCTTCCATTTCAGTGTTTTATTTCCACGTTATCGATGTTGACTGGAAAGATAAACTTGCCATTTGATCCTGAGATGCTGACAACAAAATCTGATGTTTACAGTTGTTTTAGAGAGCAGGACAATTTTAACCTGGATGTATCCTGATGTGTCATCATTTCTACATTTAGACAACCCAGTGGGAACAAGAAGAATATCTCCTACCAAACCAGCAAACTGGCACTGGAGTGCGAGGTACACCATCGACTTCAAGTGTTTATGCCTTTTATCCCTTGTGTTTCTAACCGTGAGGCTTCCACTTTGAATTACTGTTAAGTAGCAAGTTAAGATTAGACAAAATATTCATGTCATGTGCATGATTTTATACACATTTCCCCATAATCCAACCCAAGGCATTTGGTATTATTACAAACGTTGATAAAATAATGTCGGTTTGAATAAAGCTTGGCTGCACAGCACCAGTTCATACACTGTTCAATTGGTGGTTCACTGGTTTAAGATGAATCACAATATCAGTTGTGTTATTTGCATTAGACTTACATATATGTGACTTGGCCTTAAAAGCACCAAACTATCGTTTCTGACATCACCGTCAGTTTATCTCTGTGTAGCTCGCTGTAAACGTGAGCTCTGCCGTTGTCATGACAGCGTTTTGTGTGTAGGTGACTGTAAAATGGCTGTCAGAGTTGTGATTGGGTCTTTCCATTCTTTCACACACATAACAGCAGAGGCAGTTTTAGGTCATTACATCTTCTCCTACTCCTCTTTTCTCTCTCTCTCTCTCTCTCTCTCTCTCTCTCTCTCTCTCTCTCTCTCTCTCTCTCTCTCCCTGGATCTATTTTCCACAGTCACTTGCACCTTCTCCCACACACATACTCACACACTACCTTATATTTTCCAGTGTTTTTATGTTTGACCTTTGGTATGAGTGCAGTAAGTATCTAGTATAAAATACAGAATTTATTTTAGGGTTTGTTAAAATTAAAGAAGAAGAATTAAAGTATTTAAATGCACATTAATATCCCAGCAGTGACAGTAATTTTGTTGTCCTGGTTATGTGTCGCACATGTATAAACCTGTATAATAAACCTCTACAGGTCTTTAAACCTGGTTTTGAGAAACCTCCACTGTGCTCAGATAGAAACTGGGATTCCGTAGCATTAAAAATGTCCAGGTTTCTGTCTTCTGTCTGTGCAACTGTCTCCTCAACTTTAAATAGTAGCTTAAAATTCACAAGTCATACCCTAACTTTGTCAAAACAATAAGCTGGAAGACACTAAGGCACTCTGTAGAGCTAAGAGCAGCTGCAGATTTAGGTGAACCCTTTCACATTCCATTTAGTCAATTAATCAGTTGTTAAAGTAAAAAGATTCACTAGTCCAGCTTTAAATTCAATGCTTTGGCTTACAATGTTATCTTGTGCGCAAACTTGTGTGTGTGCACAACAGCAAAAAGGCCTAGATTTTCTTTGCCTGGCTCAGCATGATCACTTTCAGGTTCAGTCAGGCAGAAAAATGTTTGAGTCCCACATAAAGATAACCCTCGGCCCCTAGGCCATGCGCTTGTGTTACCCTCAACACTAGCTGCCTCTGCCTCTCCCCACCCTACATCCCTTAACTCCATCTTACGTCAACCTCTTAAACAACCCCCCTCACCCCTGCTGATTTCTTCTACACCCCCCCCCCATTGCAGCCGCACGAACCCCCAGTCTTTCCTTTCTGCATTGTTTCGCCATGGCCCCTATTGTCCGAGCAAAAAGAGAAAGCTGGGAGGGAGGCGAGGCAGAGAAGAAAAAAGAGGGGAGGAGGGCAGAGATGGGAGAATGTGCACTCTCTGTTCTCTGGGCAGGAGGGGTCCACCCACATCAGGGTGTGGAAATTCCGTTGCAGCTTCCTGCTTTTTCACCCAGTCTTTCCCTTTTAGTCCTCTCACTCATCTCTCCCATAGTTTCGCCTGGCATCATGTGCCTCCCTAACTCTTCACGCATACTATGAATTTACACCAAGCACGTCTGAAGTGTTAAAACGCTGGCGGATTTACTTTTTTACTTGCCATTTGAGGCTTAATGATCACAACAAATATGTAAATATGTAAATATTGGTGGTTTTCTGTTACGCCAACTTACGCATTAGGAGGGAAAATAAAGCGTTTACCAAAACCCACCACAGGAAACATGCGGAAATCTGCAGTTTTATGGTTGGTCATGCTGGCAAGGCATAGCTAATCATAATGAACCAAGAGCAAAACAGTCTAGAGTTGTGCTTTAGTTGTGCTTATTCAAGTATGCAATTTACAGTGGGACAGAGCTTTCTCATGAAAAACAGTTGCATGGTGTTGCTGGAAACAATGGTGCTAAAAAAAAAAGCTTTGTCAGGCTTCATTATTAATGACAGATATTTGTGGGGTTGTCACTACTTTAATATTACCCAGATACTTAATCTGTTAATGTAAAAACATTGATGACAGCAGCTTTAAACATTATGCAATATCAACTTTTCCAAAAACAAGGAAGCAGTGACACAACACTAGGCATGTTTATCTACCGTCTCTTTATTTCGCTGCCATCGTTTCTACCAATCTCCCCCTTCCATCCTTCTCCTTCCACCGTTCAACCTTCTCCATGTGAGGCCTGTGCTTGGCATTCATAACATGCTTAGAGGCTGCTGAAGCTTATGTGTGACACCTGTCGACTGGGGTGGTAGTGGGGGTGGGGGTGTTTATCCCATAAATCTTCCTTAATGGTATGGAAACCACATTCAATCCCCAGTAGGTGCACAGAGCTGATGTATTAAAAATACAGTCATCGATTACTGATGACAAGCCTGCATCTCACTGGACCCACACCTGCGACACCTGCACCAGAATCCCATTTGAAACCTCTAGGTGTCATTTTGTGTTCAGTCTGCTATTTTGTTCATTTAGGTGTTGGACTGTACCATAGGCACAGATTATACTTGTTTCTGATAAGCTGTCAGGCATCAGGTAAAAAAACAAAAAACAAACAAGGTATGCAAGGTATATTAAACTGCAGGTAACCATGGTAACATGCTTCATGACAAGCCTTTAAACTTTATTGTTTTGGTTCAGTCTCATAACTCTTATCAGCAGAGTTTCCAGACGCAGCAGCTTTCAGCTGAAAAGCAGCTGATGAACCCTCTGTACACGATCTGCCCAGCTCTAAATGGCAGACTAGCTGGATCATATAGCAGCTAAAGAGACTTAAAGAGAGTGAATATTTGAGTCATGTTAAGTGGCCTGAAGCATTAATGTTAATAATCTGCTGGAGGTGTAAATGTGCAATTGTCTGCTAACATATTAGCCATATACCAACATACCAACATACCAACAAGTGGAGCTTCTGGTCAGTTCTGACACACACAGCTGCAGCAGACTGTAGACTGAATGCCTGTCAGTAGCCTACAAAGTGACATTAAGCCTAAATGCATTTTTAAACATAGCACTCATAGTCACAAAAGCTTCATAAAAGCCACTTACTTAAGAATTGTGAGTATGGTATAGCAGGGTGATGATGATTATTTATCCCTGACTTCTCTCTGAATCTGAAAATGCAGATGATTCGTCCACCAAGGTCATTTCTGATCCTCATCTAACAGCCCTAATCAGCCATATCGAATCTGCAGGGAAAGCTGTCTGAGAGAACACATTCATGAAAACACACACACACACACTCTCTCTTCATTAAGCTTGAAGTACACAAACCAGAGTCAAAACACACACAAAGACATTGTGTTGCTCGTTAAGAGTTTTACTAAGTGTGAATTGGATTACTCCCCCAGTCAGATTGTCTTCGTGGATTTCTTTTCAAAGGACATATTTACACCTTGATTGCTGCCGTTCCATATATTAAGACCTCGATTAATGACACCCCTCAGTCTGTTTTTACTTTCATTGACTTACAGCCTGTAGCATGTAACTTGTGAAACATCATTAACAGATGAAACATCATTATTCATAGATATTAACGTTAGAATTTCAACAATTAGTCGATTAATCAATTAGTTCATTATCATAGGCATTATTAAATCAAGCAAAGTTGTCAAAATTCTCTGATTTCAGCTTCTAAAATGTGAATATTTTCCTGTTTCTTTAGTTTTCTGTGAGAGTAAACTGAATATCTTTCGACATTTGAGGGCGTCACTTTGGGAAACACTCATTGACATTTTTCACCATACTCTGACATTCTATGGACCAAACAACTAATTGATTAATCGAGAAAATGATTGACAGATGAATCGATAATGAAAACAATCAATAATTGCAGCCTCATGTATGGTGGCACAAAGGCCTGCAACCACACATGGGGGACACACACATACAAACAAAAGTTGCTGTAAGAACAGTAATTGTTTTTGTAACTAAAGTTTTCGGGAGATTTGGGGTCTTGACCTTGCTGTGACTTTAAAAACGCTGTCCATTTAGATGGCAGAGCCAATAAACTATAGATAGAGTCCATTGTTTTTTTCAGGACAAAGAAACTGTATTTGACCTCCACAATCTGCTATTGTGTGGCACTTTCCGTGTGCTGGAGCCAGCAGACTGCAGGAGAGGACATCAGTGTGAAGTCAAACACACACACATACTCACACTGAATTCTTGGTATTCTCTGGTGGATGCTGATCTGTTTCACAGTGTCCTCAAGACGCCAGCCAGACCTGAGAAAGCATGAAAAGTACCTTTAACACACTGAAGTCCACTGCTTTTAGTCACGCTCATAACACAGGACCATGTGTAAAAGTGCATGATAGATCCACAGAGGTTATCTTAAATGGAGTAGAAGCCAATTTCACAGCAGGGGAAAAAAGCAGAGACAGTGGAAGTAAATCATCTATTGCCATTAGAGTTGCAAATAATGATTATTTTCTTCATCAATTGATAGAAAATTCCCATCACAATTTCCCAGAGGTCAAAGTGACGTCTGCAGGTGTCTTGTTTTGTCCAAACAACAAACCAAAACCCAAAGATATGACAGATCTGACAAATCTGATGCACTTGTGAAGAAATGCATATGTGCAGATCATGATAACTTTATATATTATGTATTTAAAATATTTATTATATTTAATTATCTTAAATGTATGGTCTACCAAGTTTCGTGAGGTTTAGTTGTCTGCCCTCAATCGTGTCTTATATTTGTGTTACTACGCAGGCAAAATGGGAAAATAAAGTCATTAAAAAAACAAGAACATTATGAGGATATAAATACATAGAAACTGAGCCGGGATTTGACTAAAGATTCTTAATTAGAACACTCGTTTGTTGTTTGAGTTGTCCTCTGGCACAGTTTAAAGCTCAGCTTACCTTGTCCCCAAATTCATAACTTCACAAGACTAAATCTGTCTGGAGATCAGAATGGGAGTTAATTTCACCTTTCATATCCCTCACTGATGTTGAGCAAAGCCTGCAGGCTGGAAAGAAGCACTTGTGTCTACAGTTATTACAAAAATGATTTGATTTCTTCCATGGCATGAAACCGCAGGCTTTAAACAAACCTTGAACAATATCTTCTGTCTCTAAAAAATGTGATTCTTTATAGTTAAATGTCGAAACCTCCGTCTCCATCCAGTATTGGAGCTACATTCTGTCAGTCCCTTAAACATTACAGTATTAGCATATGGCTGTCTTGACTACTTTTGAAGGTCAGAATAAAAGAGAAGGTATTTCAGGTGTTGAGGATGTACATCTTTAGACAATGTGTCCCATCTAAAACTAATTTATTCTATATAAAAACATAACAATACGCTGAATTCAAAGTAGCTATGTCATAAGGAAACCAGTCCTTTTATCTCACTAGGGTAAAAGTAAAGGTGGTAAGAATAGCAAGGAGAGTCAAGGCCAAATATGTTATCTTGTCTGCACCGGCGGGACTGAGCCAAGCTGAGGAGGGGGCTTCATCACAGGCAAGACCGCTCAGCCACCATTCAGGAAATTACGTTTCCTTGGGCTGGGAGTACGTTGATTGTTTCTATATTTGGGAAATTCCTGGGGATCATAGATGCAGAGATCTAGGCGAATGTTGTGCCAAAGTTGTTGCACAACAGTAACACCCTCATTGACTGGACTCCTTAGACAAAGAAAACAACAGAGATATATCAGTGACGCCCACTGGCGAAATAATGTTTCAAACTATGTTAAAGGTGAGTCTCTTCAACCTCAAGTAAACTTTGTTTGAACATGACGTGAGTTGTTCTGTGCTTGGGTAGGGTGGGATGGAAACTAATAAAACAGATGTTTCATAGAACCTTAGTTTACAACAACATGGACCTTATTGGACAGTTCAAGTTCTGTACCCTACGATTAATGTCCAATACCAACATTCAGTGCCAACGCAGCAAGTAGTGTTCCCAGTATGTAGGATGGTGGAAATTAAGGGTGTGGAGTTCGGGGTGGTGGATGGATTTTAGACTAAAGATTTTAAACAAAACCCTCAGGTTACCCATTTAGAGGCAAAAACAATGTTAAATGTATTGCCCAAACTATCCGTTGTCACCATCTATCACAGTTTACAGACCAACATCCTGGTTTGACTTTCACCTAACCTGTGCTTTCTGCAGTCTCTTCTCCTCGTTTGTTGGTCCGTGACACTGTTGCGACTGTCCTCTAATGATAAACGGCACCATCAATCGTTGTAGCAAATGACACATCCTAATGTTCAAGTGACAAAACCGTCTTGTGAGATCATGTGACCCTATGATGAAGTAGTTTGATGTCGTTATATAGCCCCAAAGTCCACAGATGGAGGAGGTCGCAGTGGTTGGATGTGTCAACCAAAATGACTAACATAGGAAGGAATAGTGTCTTTTAACCATGACCACAATTGTTCCAGAACCTTAACCAAGCAGTTATTTTTAAACCAACCATGATCATTGCTAACCCTAAACAATTTGTTTGTGTGTTTAAACATACCGTAACCATAGCAGTGATCCTGCAAATAGGTGTCAGACCAGAAAACACTTTTGTAGTATTTTTTTCATTTAATTGTGTAGAAGTACTACTTTGGTGCGTCCAGTGTTATAATAAGCAAAATGAATGATGGCCAAAACTACGAAAAATGAGATGCAAGTTGTAATAAATTGGAATTAACCCTTAAAGTTTGAAATAATATAAAGATATTTTTTTTCCAGTAGAGTGGTGGATGATTTCTTTGCATAGCCAAAAAGTCAACATCAGCATACTACTTATATTAGGTCTAAATATACTGCTTGAAAAACCACTGCATTCAGTTGTATAAAGGCTGTGCAAGTAATATTCAGCATGTGTGTTTGCATAAGGGATTGTAGTCTGATTCCCAACTCTGTTACTCAGTGGCCACGGCACTGGGTGATCTCCACTGATGAACAATTTGCTCGGTGAGGTGTGACCACAGGCATTGTGATGGGAGCCACACAGTGGACTACTGATGCAGTGAGCGAGAGAGATAGAGACAAATGGAGAGAGAGAGAGAGAGAGAGAGAGAGAGAGTGGGAGGGAGGGAGACTGGAACTCAATTCCACACAGACGAACCTACACTGGCTCAGAAAGACGGTCTCTCTCCAGCACACACACACACACACACATACACACACGCCGCTGGCTGTGGATTCTCCATCTTATTTCATACGTCTGTAGGTAAGCAGCTGATATGTTTTCATCTGCCTGTACACATAGCTGTGAGTCTCTCTCGCTCTCTCTCTCTGCATGTGTCTGTTAATCAGCTGCTTTGCATCTAGGAACAGGGATGTGTGGGTCTGACTCCAATATGCATGTTGTAACACGCTGACACACAAACATACTGTTTTCCTGTAACACATGTAAAAGGGTTTTGGATTAAGGAGATCATAGGGAATCATTTAGTGGTACATCAACAGGAAAACAAGAAATGTGTGTTGATAGGTGCATTTATGAGTGTGTGTGTGTGTATCTGTCAGTGTGTCATCTGGATTAACCTGATACATAAAGACGTTAACATCTGTCATTTTCATGAATACCTGGCTCAGGTTATGCAATGATACCCATGTTTACCGATTCCATTTTAGAATAAGGATGTACAGCAATATATGCATGCGTGTGTGTGTGTGTGTGTGTGTGTGTGTGTGTGTGTGTGTGTGTTTTGGTGTTAGCCACCAAATGCTTGCAAGCATGGATTGCTTGTGTATCTGTGTGTGTGTGTGTGTATGAGTGCCCATTTGCATGTGAGTGCAGCACACTCCTACAAGCGGAACAGTCCAAAAGGTGCTCAAATCCCGGGGATTAGCGAGACGTCTTTGGCTTCAGCTGTCACCATGGCAAAGGCAGCCGGTGGAACGCCTGCGTTTGAGAGCGCCCTTTATAGCCGTCAGGTTCACTGCATTCATCGGCTCTAGGGCTAACGCAAGCATTAGCCTGGCACAATTAATGTCATTCTCAAGCATGGGAAACGTGTTTCATGAGTGGTTAAAGTTGGGATTTTGAAGAGTATAAGAGGCATGGAAGATGTTTGGAGAACCAAACTAATCTGAGAAAAAAGGGAGGGAAAATGACATTTGGGGCGAATCAACAAGTTAAATGAAAGTCCAGAAGAGGTTAATTACGGTAGTGCTAATGTTCTGAGGGGATTTCTGCATGTAGAAATTGGATTTGTACGATGGCCAGAGGAAACCCAACAGATTAAAATAGCAAAGCATTAATCTTGTTTGTAAATAGCATGACTCAGGATGTTGTTTGGTTGTAAAGCCTGCAGGACATACGTAACCTGTTGGAGTCCTGCCTGCGATGCTGCTCGTTTGGCTATTCTCGGACATGTGAGCAGCTCTCATTATGGTCAATAATGTCCATGGACTATTGACTGTAGCCAGTTGCACCAATTCTATGTGGATCCGTCCCTCACAACTCACAAGTCAGTAATGAGATGTAGGAGAATCAAGTTGAAAAGGATGTACAAATGTCAAATTATACAGTTAATTTAAAGAGGGATTGATGAAACATAAACAGTAGTGAATACACAGGTAAACAATCTGGGTATCTTCTTAAAAAATTTGATTTACCACTTAAAAGTTTGACATTCTGGGATGTTTCCTGATATAGAGTTGGATGAGACTCAAAGACAGAGCAAGGCTAGGCTAGTTTCAAATCATTTGGCTAATGTCAGCCGGTTCTATAGCTGTTTATTTACTGAACAAATATGAACTATCTCCAGGCAACACAGTGAATGAATGTCTTTCCAAAATATTGGAGCCATTCCTTCAAAATGAGTGTGCACTGAAATGGACAGCAGCATATGTTTGTTGTACACGTATGTAAATGCATGCAATATTTATGCAGGCACACGAAATACGATACTCTAGAATACCGATAACCTTACGCTTCATTTTAAATTACAATATTGATATGGTATGCACTAATCAATCTTTATTGACATACATATTGCGGTGCTGTCCATATTATGATAAAATAAATCATAAAATGAACTCTGGAACATGGAAGAAAATAAATAAGGTCTGAAAGAGGGGAACGTTTTTTTGACATTAATTACCTGAAATTTTTATTTATTTTTATTTATTTTAATTTGTTATTCTGTACATCCCTCATTCCACAAGAATTTTCCATGACCATAATGACAACTACACAGATTGAAAGATGGATAGACAGACCCTTGTTTGCTATGTTAAACTCTGTTACACTTCATAAAGCCCTTCAGTGTGCCGCTTTATGCAGAATAAATCCCTGCTGGCTTAAAGCGACCGGTCAGATTGAATCTGTGTAGTATTGACATCCCTGTGTATCGGCAAAGTCAGGAGAGGACAACAGGAAAAAGCCATAAGTTGACTCCTTAGATGGAAGATCGAGCCCTGTGACGTTAAAGAGCTGCAATCGAAAATGCATGACCCGACACCACGTGGGAGGACTCGCATGTAAATGCACGTTTAAATGCAAGGGCACATTCATATAGCACACATGAAATAATACTAGAGTGAAAACTAGTGTTTGTAATTATGCACACCCACACACCGGAGAGAAACAACTCTCACCCACAACAGTAGCTTTTCGCAGGGAGGTAAATTACTCCATTATCCTGGACTGTGTCATTGATCCTCAAGCCTTGCCGTGCTTATCGCAGGTTTGTTAAATAGTAATGACATTGACCACAGTCAGTTCTTCGCCATTTGTGACTCCCCTCAGTGTAGAGCCTCTCCATTTCAATCACTCAGGAGCGACACACACCTCTAATTGAGCCACCTCTCCCTTTATAGCTTTCTTTTTTCTATTCCTCTCCTTCTTATTTTCATCCTCAGAGATGGTCCTCTCTTCATCTTTCTCTCTCTTGTTAGCTTTACCACGTTGGCCTTATTATGATCACAGTGATCGCAGAGGGGGCTTGTAATGCCATAATACCACCGTCAGATTAATTTAGAATGGAGAAATGTCCACAGAGAAATATGGTACAGCAGGTTGAAGGCTGATTGAGAGCAAGATGGCTGATGGTTCTGAGAGAAGTGAGAGAGTGAGTGCTTCTCGGGAACACACACACACACACACACACACACACACACACACACACACACACACAGACAGACTAAATTGAAAGACAGGAGTCTGTTTACAGAGTTAATAAAAGAGGCTCTGGCAACAAACTAAAATGAGCATTAGGGAGACTGCTGCAGAGTTTACTCTCCCGGACTAAGAATGCCACAAATGAACGTCAATATGGTTTCTTTGTCTCTCCCCCTCTCTTTTATTGCCCTTGTCTTTTGCTCTCTGCCCTTCTGTTCTACCTCTCCTTCTCTTTCTCTGTCTCCGCTCCACTGAGCACACTACAGTGGCAGGGCCCATCTTTGTCAGGAGCAGCGAGACAAAACGCCAGCAAAATAATAGAGGGGACTTGTAAATTCCCCACAGACACTTTTTATAGTTCCTTTCCACTTGCTCTGCTGCCTGTCAAACCAGACAATGCCTTCACTAACAGGCATGTATTTGATGTGGTGACAAGTGGTGACAAGAAAGTTAAAGGCCCAATCTGGGATTATAGGAAACCAAAAGCTGTGGTGTGGTTTTCAGTTCATTAGTGGTTAGTACATTAGGTAATCAATTTGTTAGCTTGATTGATAGCTTGTTTAAAATGGTTTTAATAATAGATAGATAGATATTCCTTTATTTGTCCCACAATGGGGAAATTCCAAATGTATAATGTATGTATGTATGTATGTATGTATGTATGTATGTATGTATGTATGGTATAATGTATAATGTGATTGATTAATGTAGTCCTTGGCTCTATCATCTCTCTGCCTTTTAGTGTCTTTCAGCTTTCAATTCTTTGGCCCACAACTTTAATGTTTTTATTTGTTCTCACTGCTCTCGTTGTTGTGTTTCAGTTGTTTCAGCAAAAAGCTCTGATAAACTGTACGCTACATGTTCAGCACTAAACTCTGTCAGACAGATCAACTAAGATATCCTTAATTGGGGCTTTAAAATGGTAGATCATTGTAAAGCTATGATCAAATAAAAGTTGTAGCGAATTCTAACTTCAACTACTTTTCTGGAGGTGGACCTAAGACTAAAAAACATCTTTAAGAAAAGGTGTTGGCATGTGTGCCATGACAGCTTGAGTCAGCCATCAACAAAATACCATCTGCTACGTTGCTTGAGTCAAATAGAACAAAGTAAGAATGGAAAGTCTTCTTCTTGCCACCGTGGGTGGAAAGAACGGGATAGAGTACATTCAGTTCTGCCCAGTGCTGCTCCTGTGGTGTTGTTTCAAAATATAAGGAGATATACTACCCAAAAAGCATTCTGATTGAGTGATCCTACAATCATAAAATTAAAAACATGCTGTAGATATACTGTGAAGTGAAGTAAGCGTTTTGCACCCCACATGAGTTTCCTTTTACCACACTAGGTGATGCTGAGCGAAAGTGATACTGACGTGAAATCTGAGAATGTAGCCAAAATAAATTATACATTTTCCCTACACTGTCTAAATAATTGATCAGTTATGCATCAAACTGACACTCAATGATGGCAGATAATTTGCCCCAAGTTTCACAACTAATTAACACCTCTCCCTTTCTCTTTGAAGGCAGTATTAGTTTATTAGCCTTTCTTTAAGTCTTTGGAAATAGCTGGCAAACAGTCTTAAAGAAGCCAACAAAGTGTGCAAGCGTGGGTGTGTGTACCTACTACGGAACAGTACACGTGGGCGAACAAGTACACAATTGCACTCACACGCAAAGTCAGATCCAAATGCATCTACAATCATATCTCTGCATGCAAGAATTGTGACCGTGTGTGGGTTGGTTGGTGCAAGCATGAGCGCAGGCATCTAAAAACAACCTCACCTCATTGGAAAGTGATTTTCATGCTGTTCAGTCAAAATGCAAAAACTGGGGAGAGTGTGGGAAGCTCTTTGTTTGACCCCCATCATAGTCAGTCTTTATATCATCGGCATCTGACTGCGTATACAGGTTGGTTTCAACCCTCCAGGTGGGAACAGAGGGGGTGATGTCAGGTCAAGTCCCTGTTCTCCTCATCAGTGAGAAGAAGCCTGATTCTCTTATGGCTGCGGTTGATTGATCCTGTGTGTGCGTACGAAAGGAAATAGCAAGAACTTGAGAGAGCAGAGAGAACTGGCATGGATTAGGGAAAAAAGCGAGTCATAAATAAACTTGTCAGAGAGAAGAACAGAGACTGACAATGAAAAAAAAAACACTCATAAAGAGAATGTGTGATAGAGAAGCTGGAGAGAACTTCACCGTGATAGCGGATTTCTGTGAATATTGATGTTTTTTTTTTTTACTCCCACACAAACTGATCTCTCTCCCTCTGCTTTAAAGAACAAATAAATCTGAGATTGAAAGAGAGCAAGGCCAAAGCTGGGGTGTGGGGGGAGTTTAGTGGGGAGTTAAGTACAGCTAAAGCATACAGGTTGTTGTTCTCACAGGGGAAATTCCTTTGGTGCTCCAGTCTTTTCACTGAGGCAACAGGCTAGTGACTTTGAACCACTCTGCGCTCCACAAAAGAAAAAGAGGTCCCCTCTATTCTTATGTTGGCAACCCGGACCCTAATTCTTCACTAGCCTCCCCCAACTCTACTCACACACATTATTTCTTGACCATCCCTCACTGAACAGATTACATATGGATGGAAGTCCTTCCTCTAATTGGTCGGTCCGTGTAGCCTCCCAACCACTGCGACACAGCATGCATGTGAGCAACAGCATGACATAAATACTGACCACCACATCTAACGGGACACCACTAATTGTGGGGTGTCCATAATACTTAAGTTCTTGTTGTGATTTGTGGTGGGTGACATATTTTTTTAGCCTGCTAACTTCAGCAGTCGCTTGTAATGGGTGGCATAGTTTCTAGACTTGATTTACTTTTACAGTCTGGAAAAACAGCTGAAAAGCGGGTCACACTCTGAGAAACGGAAACTCTGCCTTCCAAAAATGTTCGATGACAAGAAAAATGAACAGATGCAAATTCTGTTAAGTTTTCGTGCATTCAAATTTAGCTATCCTTAGATGGATGAAAAGTGTGTCACTCAGTGTCTTGTGTGTTTTTGTCTTTTAGGCCATTTTGCCGGAGAGTCAGCCAAACCCGCCTCAGGGAGCTGGAGAATGGAGAACAACATGTGACCGATCCGTGCGCCACTGTCGACAGCATGCTTCGTCTCCTCCAGACCTTGGCTTTCTGCTTCTGGTGTTTTTTGCTACTTCACAGGCAGGCTGTGGCCGATGAAGAGGGCCTCTGGGGGCCGACGCCATCAAGAGAAAACCCACCTGAAAATAAACAAAGCTCTTCCTGGTGGTCAAAGTACAGTCCCTTCCATTTAGTACCGCGGCTCAGGAACCCCTTTTATGGGAGCTCGGACAGTAACGATGAGGCTCCTGCACTGACCACAACCGCCAAATGGCTGACAGAGCCAATTGATCACTCGGGTTCAGGGGAAGGGGGCATTTCTGAAGCCTCTGAACAACCCACCACTTTGACTCAGGGGCTTCTAACCAGCGTGACAAAGATAGGAACAGAATCACTTCCCACGGGGACATCAGATTCTCCACACAGCAGCATAGCACAGACCCACAATGATACTCCTGTTTCAGGCGCCTACTCTCCCACAAGCAGTTTTATCAGAAACACTCTGTTCACCAACAGTCCCACCAGCACAAGCGCTCCTGAACAAAATGCAACACATACCCACCCACCACGGGGCACTGCACGAGCAGCCAGACCCAGCATGGGTGCTACTCCACAACACCTCCCAGAGGAACTCACTGATAAAGAGGAGGCTGAAGATTTTACAGAAAAGATCTCTTCGACGATAGCACTAGAAACTACAGTTCCCACTGCCTTGACATGGGCGGCAGCCCATACCACAACAACAATCCCAGGACTGGTAGAGACCACACTGACCAGTAGCCATCCTTTGAGGCCTGTTACTCCCCCTACGTCCACAGAAACGTTTCATGCTGGGGTGGCCACAATGACAGAAACTCACCCCACTGAGAGTGAGGCTGACCTGGGCTTCTCCAAAGCCAGGTCAGGGCCCATGGAGGAACAACCAGGGGTAATCGTCACTGCCATAGGGATCGATTACAAACTAGTGCCGGAATCCATAACAAGCACAACTCAGAGCCAGGGGGTTAACTTCCCAATAGCAGGAGGTAAGCAAAGTTAAATCAATCAATAGTGCTTGGATTGACTCAATAGATGTGATCAATCATGTTCAGGCAGGTCTTAAGAGTTCAATAGATGTCTGTCAAAAGGCTGCAGACAGTTTGGCGTTTCTGACATGGTAAGTAGTCAAAGGTCCAATATTAGCATAAATCCAGATCTGTGGTGGTTTTAATGGGTAGACATCCTCAGGCTACTGATCCTGTGGAAAAGAAAATTTCAGCAACATGACAGCTTTTAGAAATGGGAGTTGCTCCACAATACAGTAATCAAAGTCATCTACAAAAGAATGAAACATCTTTATTGTGTTTCCAATGCTTGCTTCCCACAGACTTTGAACTATTCAATAAAATCATTCCATGACAGAGAAATCGGAATGGAGAGTAACGCATCAGGATTTGTTGTGCAATCTGTTGTGGATAGTTAAAAAGCTTTTGTTGGGTGACGTGTTGTTGACTGGCACCATCCATACCCTAACTTAATTTTGCATTTCACAATCGCAACCAGAGAGTAATTTGTACCACCCAGTTCGAAAAAATCTTAACTAATCCCTCCAACAGTCTATAATGAGTTTTCAAGCAGAAATTCCAGTCCAACATTGCATAAGCCATTACCTCAGTGAGTGGAAGGAAAGAGTATTTGATTGAATGCTGCTCGATGGGGGTTTTGTCCTCCACAGAGCGTGAAAAGGGGAAGGCAACAAGCTAAAACAGCTACTGGTAGCCGGTAGGTTTCAGGAGACTTTGACACGACATTGAGGCAATACCTCCTTCTTCATGGCCCATCCCCCAACACTGGTGGCAGTCTGGTGTCTGTATGCCTAATGAGTCTTCAGAGGAACATCGTCCTCCAGGTACAGACACATTTATCATGTAGGGTCAAAGGTTGGACCAGAAAATGATGAGTCGATTACTCTCAGACAGGGAGGTTCGGTGTCTATCTGATAAAACCGTGATTGTTTGGTGGATGTATACACACAGTAGTGTCTGCAATATTCACTAAGCATGTGTAGAACATAATGATATTCTGCTTGTGCGTAGCGATTATCTTATGTCCATTAATATCAGCACAAATGCAGTTTTTTCATTTTGAAATATAATTACACAAACCATTAGGAAAAACAATAATAACACAATGAATCCAAGCAACATTAGATGATGTTATATTCATATGACCCTTTTTAAAATACATGATCTTTTTTGTGTAAAAAAAATAAAAAATAAAATCACATTAAAGTAAAACAAGTTATAGCATCCTCAACATACTAATGCCAAAGGCTAGTTTTGCTAACACATTTGTTCATTTAACAATTTCGGGATTTTAGATTTGTTTAAATTTCTGTGTTTCTGAACACTTTAGGGACGTCTCGTACGATACAAATGCTCAAGTACAGCTACTAAATGGACTTTGGGATGAAATAGTTTTGTCAGCTGCTGTATCCAAGGTAACATTGACCATGCTCTTGGTTACTTACAGATAGCAATGTATTCTGCAAGTACATAAACAGTTCCTTCTTGGAAAATAAACTGTTCTTCTACAGTGTTGGAATGCAACTATTCCAGATCCCATATCTCCTGCACTGCTGTACGCCACTTGTACTGAAAGTGGTGGTGGTATGTTTTGTCTGCAGCGCCCTGTGTTGTGTCTGCACTTGTTTTTAGTTGTTCATCGTGCGGCGGCATACAGAAAAGATACGGGGGCTTGGCCTGGGTGGGGAGGGCTGCTGTGGCCCCGTATCAGTATTCCAAGAGCACACTCAGCGAAACCACCACCTCTCCTGTGGGACCATCCGCTTGCCAGTCGCTGTTCATGGATGCTGAACATGCCTCTTGCCATTTAGTCTCCTCCCTCCATGCTCCCCTCCTCCTTTTGCAATGTTTTCCTCTGTACAAAAACCTGCTTCTTTTTTTTTTTTTTACTGCTTTGAAGGGGGTGAAAATGTCTTAATGGGGATGACAAAAGCTTCTGGTCATCCATGGAGAAATGGAAGCCAACAGAATATGGTGCTTTTATTTTCCTTTTTCTAGTAGTCTGCTTGGTGTAGTATCGCACTGGAGTCTTGCAGTGTTTGAATGATTACACCTTGCCAAAGGACACAGGAGGAGACTAATATGAAAATGAAAGCATGGCACCCTTGTATTATCATACATTATCCCAATGTGAATATTCTATGTGTGTGCTGGAATTTATTTTTAAAGCTGCATGGGGTGAACCATTCCCCTACTGGAGGTGTGGAATATCTTCACCACATAAACTGGTGGATTTTCATTGATCGAGAGAGCATTTGCTGTGTGGCGTTGCCCTTGAGGAGGCTGTCAGGTATTTTAAAAAAACAGCAATGCTCTGCATCTGTGTCAAATCCTTTACTAAGGGACACTCCAACATCCAGCAGCAAGGGCAATTATGAGAGCAGAGAGTGGAAAAAAAGGGGGGAGTGCTGGGGGTTGAGGCTGATGAGATTCTAAAGCTTCTCAGATAGCCACTGCTGTACATTTTCTTCCAAAAAGCTTTCCTTTATCCTGCTCCTTCTTTCCCCTCCTCCCACCTTTTCCATTACTGTATGCTGTAACAGGCAGCGGTAAGACTAGACCCTCAACACACTACATTAATACCAGCAAGATATTGTCCCTGTGATCTGAGCGTTGTACTAAACAGCGAAAGCGCAGCCATTGACAGATTAATTGATTATGGAAATAGTTTTACACGCAGAGCATGTGACATGAATACCTGATGCCCTGGTATAGAATTTAGATGGAATGGGGGCTTAAATGCAAAATAGAGAACACTGTGGTGACTTTAATATTATGTTAATCTCCTCATAATGACTTCTTTAACCAGACAGTCCATGAGTTTTACAAAACTGGATGGATTAGGCCTGTTTGTTTTTAGGATTTGACCCTCAGCTCTCAGGCGGAATAACCCTCACTAATGCAAATGTGCAATTACAGAACGATCTGGATTATCTCTCACCTTTAAAGACTGAGAGAGCGTAATGGAGTTGCACCAGTAAATGCCATGAGTCCCTTAGTAACTATCTTAAAAATGAGCCAAATTAGCAAGAACGTGATGCAATTTTGTGCAAGTACATTATGAAAAAAAATCAAGATGAGGTATTCCGTCGTCATACTATCCCATTTTCTATGCATCTGATTGTGAACAACGGACTCCCCGCTGCTCTGCTATCCAACCCATTCCTTTTCTTTCTTATCGCCGTAAGCTCAGTGTGTTTGTTACAAAACCACGCATTGTATTCTTTCACAAACTCTCTCGGGGCTTATGTCGATAAAAGCAGAGTGTAATGGAGTGCAACATCATCTTTTGTTTATTATTTCTGGAAGCTGAAGATAATGAGGAGCTTCTGAAACAATATACACTATAAATAACTACCATCCCAAAAGGCTTTGATTGCCTCAAAGATTTTGCTCACTGTGGGTGCTACTTTAAACTGAATTTAGGTTACATGTCTGGATGAAAGCCTAATCTTCATACTGTGCACACATGAAGAAATACCCATTCACTACCTGAGGTGAAGACACATAGAAGATTCCTCAACTGAAAAACAACAGATAGAACATCATACTTTGAGGTCACAAAGGCCAAAAACAATGTACTAATTAGGTAGACAGTAAAATGATAATTCAGCACATGTAGTGTTGAGCTGTTCAATAAGTAAAATGGAGATCCACTCCCTTTCTCTGATCGCTTTTTGCTTTTATTTTGCTCGGTCAGCAGAGTCTCTGCAAATAGCCGGTGGTCATCAGTAATTTTGCTTGTGATGCGCTTAAGAGATGAGTTCCACCGTTTGAACTGTGCGAGTGAGTGAGTGCATATACTTACTGTCCTTATATCTCATTTGTAGCAGATCTTGTTAGATGTTGTAATTTAATCTACAGGCACGTCGGTACTGCAGATCTAAGGTGCCGCAGTGATCTGGCTGCGATGTACAGAGTCTCCTTCCAATTCACTTGACACGCTCAGGAAACAGCAGTAATTCTAGTGGTAAAACGTTTGTTTAAAAGGCAGACAATAATCTTTTTGTATCTCAAGTTTAACTACGAAAAATATCTATTTTGTTCAGATAACTTAATTATGAATTTAATATGTGCAAACTCCAAACTTTAAAGGCAACATTTGTGAGTTTTAAGTTCAATTTAAAGGCACCCTGTGGAGTTTTCTTTTCCTTGATGTCTAACAAACATGTTGAATGAATTAAGTAAAGAAAGAGAATTGGTGGACCAACTTCAATTGGTAACACACAACTTAATTAAGATTTTTCAAACCAATTCAAAGCAGTTGTATAAATCAGAGTTGTTAACTTGATTTGAAAACAATCTTGATTCATTTGTGAGTTACCAATATTTTTTTTTAACTTGGTCTAACATTTTCTTTTTCTGAGACTCACTCGTAAAAACATTTTGCTCCTAGTGGTCAAAAAGTCCAAAGACAAAACTACCTAAAACCCACCTGACCAACAATCTTTTGTTCAGCTTACTTTTCTTCAAACCTAAATTGAGATGGGCAAACTAAGAAATCTATATTTCTAAGATTGTTGAGTAACTTACAATTGTTGGTTTCTTATAAACATAAAAATTGAGAACTTGAGACATGATGTCCATCTAGCCTTGGAATTTGCTTATGAGGACTTGAGACTTCCATCGAGACTTGACACTTTTACCCCAAATAAGATCATGTGCAGCACATGCCTCTGTTACTCATCACTCTCCCTCTCCTTTGGCTGAAACAGATCTCCAGCTGTGGAGGTCAACTGTACAATAAAGTGATGAGCAGGTTCTCCTTTGGAGACTTTTAAAACTTATAATTAAGTCAGATGCTCTGAGTATGACCTAGATTATGCTGTACTGTAGTAACTCGCATCGACTTGTAGCTGTTATGAACTCATTATTCCTCCCGCTATCCTTACGCCTCGGTATACTTTATTAATATTCATTCTCAAGCTATAAACTAACACTACCTGCTATCGCTGGCTTCATCACAGAGTCAGCTCATCAGTTTCTCCCAACAGAGTCACTCACTAAATATTGTCCCAAATCACATCTGGTCCATCATTCATTTATAACTGCTGCACTGTGTGTAAAACACACAAATCTTGTGCAGATGGCTGACTGTGACAATATATTGTACCAAAAGGAAAAGAGGACGATGCGGCTCTGTCGTGTCCTCATTACTTTCTCATTCTCTCTGTTTCTTGCTTCCCTCTCTGTTTTCTCTCTCAGGGCTCTTTATGAAATGCTTTTCCTTGTTTGCTTCCGCTTTCTCACACTAAGACAGATGACTGAACAAGGGGTCTGGATTTGTGATGGACCAGGATGTGCACACCCATGCACACACACATCAGGATGTCAATGCAATTAGACTACAGAGAGCCAGACTACTGCGCTATGGATGACTGGCTACAACTAAGTGGATAAAAGGCCGATCCATTTGACAGAACTGGGTTAAGAAATATAGTCATTCCAGTTTCTGTAGTGTGAAGTCTCAGATATGTTGTGAGCAGAGAACAGAGAGGGTTAAACGTTCTTTTTGGCAGGCTCCAGATTTGCTAATCTGTTTTTCTCAGACTTCTTGGAGCTACGGTGTTGTGTTCTTTAAATCGTATTCCTGATCGCTTTGGCATCGCTCAGAGGTTAAACTGCATGTGTCTCCCCAGAGCTGCCAGGCAAAGAGGATAAGGAGTCTGAAGAGGCTGAGGAAGGTGTGGTTCCTTCTGCAGACGGGGATGGTGATGAGTTGGCAGACATTTCCACACCATCCGCTAAGCTGCTAACACAGTCCCTGCCACGAAGCACAGGTGAGCGAACAAATCCCTTAAAATGTAAACAAACACTGTAACTTACTTAAAAATCCCTTCTGTTGCAAGCATGCGTTTGCACTGCCATACTGTTGGGATGAGAACTAAACAGACTGCATGCTGTTTCTTTCATAAGCTGCCCCAAAGCTGTTTCAATATCAGTAAATCTGTCAGAGGACTGGGAAAAACAATTACCCTGCATCCTTTGCCTGAAGCCACTAATTGCTTCCAATGGGAGGAGAACACTGCTCATTCAAGCTGTGACTTAGGAGAGCTCCTGAGAACAGAAGAGATGGGGAACAACGCCCACCCTATAAACCAATATCCCCCTGTACTGTCTCTCAGATAAATAATTATTGATCAGATGACAATAGCTGCCTTAAAAAATGGAAAACACACACAAGTATTGATTGTAGTACCGTGTGGTGTAGAAGTGTTGGCTAATGACAGCAGATTACTTTAAAATGAAGATTTGCTGCGCACATCAGTATCAATAAATAAAGCATAACTATTTATTATGTTTTGGAATCTCTTCTTTACGACAGGATGTCAAATTGTTCCTATTATATATAGAACATGTTGTCCTCAAGTTGATGTGTTAGAAGCAGGAAAAGGATTTCAGCGACTTTGACAAGGGCCAAATTGTGATGGATGGACGACTGGGTCAGAGCATCTCCAAAACTGCAGCTCTTGTGGGGTGTTCCTGGTCTGCAGAGGTCAGTGCCTAAGGAAGGAAGTAAGGAAAAGCAGGGAGACAGGGTCATGGGCAGCCAAGGCTTATTAATGTACGTGGTGAGCGAACATTATGACCACCAGGGTGCCCAGGTGGTCATAATGTTATGGCTGATCGCTGTATGTTTATTAAAAGATTCACTTTCGGCCCAGTTCACAGCAGCAGATGTAACCCACATTAGCTCGCCCAGAATAGCAGATGTTGTCAAGTGATTTTCAAAAATAGACCTGTCAAATGTGCCATTTGCTGACGAGGGGACGCTACGGGGCTCTCTAGCTTGGTGTGTCATGAGTGAGTGATTGAAACAGTAATGGTTAGTACTGTCTGTTTGAATGTGTCCTCCCTAAAGCAAAAATCTGTTGTTGAAAATATCGGCTGTACATAAACAAATTAGAAGTTATCATACAAGGACTCCCTTTTGCTTTAATGGACCCACAGCAGGGGCTTATTGCTGAAGTAAACTGTTTAAGAAGCCAATAAACTCTCACATTTTCCAACACACGACAGCTCCTCCTCAGTATGCACACTCCAACTTCTCCATGAGCTCCAACTTAATTGCTTTTTCTGAGGTGAGCCAAATTGAAAGGGAGGCAATCAGATGAAAACTACATGGAGCTCTCAGTTTCTGATGCAAAATTAAAATATGTGTGTGCGCTAGGGGTTGTTCCCTGTGTCACATCAGACAAATCCTTCACTTTTACCTCAGCTGCTCTGCAAATTAAAGCACCTTAGGAGAGACCTTTCAAGATTCCATAGCAAAACCCAAAGAATTTAAGGCATATAAAGCCCCTGTGGACTAATAGTGTTTCCTCTGAGACCTAAATGAAACCTGCCTCACAAGAAATGATGTGAAATGAATGTCGTGTAATATAGGTTTGCTGTTTTTGTGTGCTTTTCGCTCTGTTTTAATAATTAATTGAATTGTCTTAAGACAGCTCTAGGATCTCGAATTCTTTTGACTTATACTGAATCTATCTGACCAAATATTCACAGCAATAAAAATAAAAAGTCATTTAATAGCTACAAGCATTATGAAAGATGTAGAATATGGCTATATTGATCAAATGAAACCTTTACATATGATTTTTAGCCTGTTGTCTTAGGGTTTGACAGTCCACCACTTTGGTCCGGACTGAAATATCTCAATAACCATCAAATGGATCACCATGAAATTCATGCTTCCCAACTGATGAATCCTGATGACTTTAATGATGATGATTGGCCACTGTGATTCGCCTTTTAAGTTGATATGATGAACACATCCAGCAGAATTAATCATTTGACTAAAGTAAGTCCAACATTGACTCATTTACGTCTCTAACGACTCCTGAGGGAAATATCTGTTTTTTAAGCTCCTAAATACTCCACTGTGTTCACCAGCTAGTTGCTTTGTGTCTGTCTGCCTTTTTTTGGTGGAGGCTCTAGTACTGTGGAGCAAAAATCAAAGTATACAGGGCCCTCATGTGAGGAGGGCCAATAAAGATACTAGAATGAATAGTTGTGGATGCAGGGACATGCCCATAGAGAACGCCTGTGTACAGGGTGCAGAATTTTGTGCTACGCCCCTACAGGTAGTGTTAACTCAAACACGAATCCCAAATTTGGGAAGTTTGTATTAGTTAAAACGACCTCTCAGTCCACAGGCACTTCGCCTTGAGACTGTGTCTATCTAGATGTGTCTACTGTCCTACACGAGAGACTTGTTCCCACAGGAATGTGTCAGATGACCGAGCAGCATGCAGTGGAACGTAGCGCTCTGATCCATCCTTGTACTGTAGCCACCACATACCAAACCCTGTCCAGGCTGCTCGGCCAGCCCGGCAGCTCAGATGTGACATTTATCAGCATGAGTGAGGCAACAAAACATAGCACTAACTCAATGCACGTCACATTTTCCACTTGGCCTGACTCGGTGGAATCCAAATCATCACCGTCGCCCTGTAAAGTAAACAAATGCACAGACGAGTCATTGGCATAACACTCTACTGAACCCCACCTACTTTATCAGTGGCCCCCACGTTCAAAATGCCTGCAGCTGTGTGTTTGTTTTACACTCCAGCCACAGTTCCCACATAGAGCCGAGCTGCTGTCTGTTTTTATAGGGTGACATTGTTAGTGCAGTCACACAGGGAAAGTTTATTAGAGCACTGGCATATTTAATGCCCTATTTTTGACAAAATTAAACATAGCTCCTTCTTTTTTCTCTCCTCATATTTCCTCAACATGACGTGAGTATCAGTGAGAAGGCTTTGATGCATTTTGTACTGATTCAGTATGGAGTTTAAACAGTAACTATAACAGTCACTATTTCAGTGTAGTGCTTCAAGTAATGATTATTGTTATCATTAATAATTATTAGCTTTGCTACACAGAATGGCATGGGGATGGAAATGTCAGACCATGACCATGAAATTTGTTCAAATCGAAATGCTTTCAGTGATCTCCATGAGGTTGACATTTGTGGTCTTTAGGGAAAAGCCTAGTGGATGGTTCATCCTGAAGTTTTATTGTACATTAGTCCCCCCAGCATGAATAGTTATCACTTTGGTGACCTTTTAACTTTTTATCAAGTGTCAGGTCACAATTCTTTATTCGTCTATATGCCATCCCCATGCTAATATGCTCAGCTAAGAAGGTGACCATGCAATATGACTTGCCAAACCTCCATATATGTAGCATAATCATGGACAGTATATATCATAATACATATAGTAAATATTAGTCCATCCATGTAAACATTAATATGTTAGCATTGTCACTGGTTATGTTTCCATACTGGCATTAGCGTTCAGCTTACAGTACAGGGTCACTAGCGTATCTGTGGAATTTATTCTGTTAGGTTGATCAATTTTAGTCCATAACAAGTCAAAGAAGAGTGAAAAAAATGTCTATCGCAAGTTAGTCTTCAACTTCCTTGTTTGGTATTTTTATTTTATAAATGTCATTCATCGCATTGCATTAGTCACAAATTGTTTCTGGACTAATTCAAATCTAAAAAATGTCACCCAGACACTTTAGGACGCAGTGTCCTGAGGTGTGTTTATAGTTCAGGCATTCCTTCCTGGCAAATTAAACGTCTGTATTGAAAGGGATGTTTAAACTGACTTAATGGCTGTACTGTTTGTTCTTTCCTGGCAGAACAGGAGCAATGTGTGAATGTTTGGCATATCTGAATATACTGACTGATGTTCACACATCTGCCTAGTTCTCTTCCCGGCCATATTTGGTCTTAATATAATCCAGTACTACGCTGAAGGCTCATTATGAGAATGATGCATATGGGAGCCATTTTAACAGCATTTCACTTTTTGTTATTAAAGATTCATCAGTTTAATTAAAAAACAGTGCATCTGTGCAAAAGCAAGGTCTCTCAAAAACTCATCGATCCTTGTTTTTCCTCCTGTTGAGGACGTGATTAAGGTTCCAAAGACAGCTCGGGATGTCTGAAATAAAACTGCTGTGTCGTGCTACAGTAAAAAATGCAGTAGCAGCTGACAGCGGGGTCATATTTCCTTGAGCTTGACGTTTTCATCACAACCTGGGACAGTGATTCAGCTCTGAGGTCAGGAGATGAATGAGGAAAAATGCTAAAGACTTTGTCAACAACTGGCAGAAAGCAGGACAGTGCTAATGCTTATGCTAAAGCACTTGTGAAAATCCTCTGCCACTCTTAAGGATCTGTGGCATTAAAAGAGTCAACAGTATAAACACATGCAAATTCACTGGTAGACACTCAGTATGAGCATATAAAGACAAATTGTACAAGAAACACATTAACATTTATTCAAGTGAGAGGGCTTAAGGCTGTTTGTATCTCAGCATCATCACAGTAATGTTAGACCAATAAAAGCAGACACACACTGTCCAACCATTTCACTCTCCCCGAAAGAGCAAGAGCTGCAGACTTACACGTGGTCAACATAATGCAAGCAGCAGCTGCCATGCATTGGATCGATGCAATTGGGGTAAAAAAAATAAAAATAAAAAAAAGCAAGCAGAGAGCAGCAGACGCAGTAAACATAAAGCATGGGAAGAGACTTGTAAAAAATCAGGGCAGCCAAAGAGAGCAGAAAACTGTCCCAGACTAAAAATAACAAACCCACCTATGGGAGTTTCCCCTTTTTAAATAAAGGCGGGTGTTGAAGGGAAATCATAAAGAAAGGAGTGAATTAGGGGACCAGGACAGGGTGGGATGGGAAACACAAGAATACAACCCATAAAGTACATTAAAAGACAGATGAGAAAGACTTAAAACAAAAATGTTAAACCACACACATTCTACTTTTAGTTTTTTTTAGGAAATGAATTAGACATCTCCAATCTATACGCAAAGATTTCAGGGTTTTGCGGTGCTGATGTCTGCACATTTAAGTTCTTAAACTGGCACATAACATTACCACCCGATGTAATGTATTCCCCAGACGTCACATATTTAAACCCCCTTTGTTCACTGTTTTAGGCCAGAGCTATGGCAATGCCTTTTGGCTGTATTTAGAATTATTTTTACACAAAAAAACACAAGTCTGTAATCTCACACAGAAAGGACTGCAAAATACGTTTATGAACGCACACTCCACTGAACCTGCCTGCTGTGTGATTTACTGTGCTGTCGGTGTATCCTGCTCATTTATCCTCTGTGGTGCATTATAGCACCTGGCTCTTTATTGGAGGAGTGATTGTCTCTGATAAGCTTGCAGCAGAATGACTGATGAGTGTGTACAAATGACAGAGGCGCAATTAGAAGCTGCTTCTCTTCTGCTGCATTCTGCTACTTTTTCTTTAAAAGACCAAGGTTCTTTTTTTAATGCTGTTATTATTAGACTCAATATGTTCTTTTCTGTGGTGGAAAAGAAAGCATTTGCGTGGCGACGGTTAAGTTTTGTGGAAAAGAACAAGGTCCATGATGTGAAGCTCAGTGATGTGGAGTGTGTCTTTCTTCCCATCTGTGAGACATTATGCTGTGAGAAGTGACTTTTGCTGTGTCCCTAAGTCATCCTCTAGAAATCAAACTACATAAACATGTACAGTGCAGATGAGCTTTGCAGCCGTCTCAGTAATGTTCACACAAACACGTACACTCCTTCATTTCCAAAACCATTTCCTTTGCAGTGCTAAAACATGTCTAACACAATCATAATTAACTCTACTCGCATGGAAACTCCAGATGGCTTATGTAATGCAAGAGAAACTAGCTCTATGGTTCTGAGTGGCCTGATCTCTTGCACACAAACACACGCACGCCACTGCCTCTTCTTTTGGGCCCAGCTCAGTTTGAAGTTGCCTTCTTACAAGCTTTTAAACAGGATTAGCACATTAGGAGGAAAACATGCGTTCACCATCCTGGACCTAAGCCAATTTGTTTTCTGGCTCAGATAGTTTGAACACTGATTAAATGCTTCTGTGTCATGAGTTGGACAATTAGTATGCTTTTAAGTGATATAAAAGTGGATGTTTACAGCTATTGCCATTTCCATTTTTTTTAACTTTCTTTTCCTTTTTAATTAGTCATTCAGATGCTACTCTTGTTCATCCTGCCAGCTATTTGAAGTACATTTAATGCAACTCAATTTCTACTTTCTTTCCAGGTGTTCCTCCAGAAACCCCTTATATTCCTCTGTACACTGAAGACTGGATGTCCAGTCTTACAGACAGCAACGTGACCTTCCTACCAGACTGCAATAAAGAGCGTGGGGGGATCTGCAACCTCTCTGACACCTGGGACTCTACAACCTCCTCAGACGTTAAGCCCACACAAAACACCACTGCCACAAACCAATCGATCAACCCCTTCCTGGTCCCAGCTCCACTCATGTTGGTGCCGCTGTATACCGACTGGAACAGTGCCATGGCAGCTTGGGGCCTGGCCTGGGAGGCGCATGTTTACGGGGCTGGTTGTGCCTTCGCAATGCTAACTCTAGCCTCAGCACTCAATCTGCTCTGCTTGCCGCTGCGATGTCCATCCGGATGTGGCTACTTTGCCCTGGTCAGCCTGTTTCTACTAGCTGCTGGTTGTACCAGATCTTTCTCGCTGCTGTACGATGCCTACGGCCACCAGGACCGCCTACCGTCCACAGAGGCCTCGCTGATGCTCTACGAAGCACCGTTTCCCTGCTTGACTGCAGCTTTTGGTCTGGTTTTCCTTCTCCTCTCCATGCGCTCAAGAATGCAGCTCTCCTACTCAGCCTTCCAGAGACCCTGTTTCCTGGCCTGCCTGGTTTTCCTGCACTTTGCTGCTGCATTTGGACCAGTGACATTACTTAAGTTTTACCAGCAAAAACCTCCCCTTTGCCTCTTTCTTTCACTCATCTCCCGTGGAGCCTTTGTAGCACTGGCCACATTTCTGTCTGCTGCCTATTTTGTGTTCTACATCTATGTACGGGCAGATTCGAAGCACATCTACCACCTGAATAACACATCCCCAACGCCTGCTGAGCGCTATAACCGCTGCCCCTTTGCTGAGAGCCGGGACTGGGACCGTGCAGCTGTAACTGTTTGTCTTTCAGCATTGTTTTCTTTAGCATGTGCAGGACTGCAGTTATTTGCCATTCTCAATGCTATTGGCGTTGCAGGTGGAGAGGAGGTCTTCCACCCTTGGCCTTGGTGGGCTTTTCAGTTTAGCTGCAGACTGTGTGAACTCGGGGTTTGTCTCACCTTAGCATTGGTAGTCGCACAACCGGTCTACTGTTCTGACCACCTCCCAGCAGCAGGGAGCTGCTGGACTGAATTACTGGCGTCCAAGTCACCCATCTTGCCTGGGAGCTACCAGTGGTCCCTGAGCCAGCAGGAGAAGCTTGCCATCGTTGATACCATTGGGCTTGGAGAGACAGAGAGCCTTCCTCTTTACACTCTGATGGATGAGAGGCTTGGCAGCAGTCTGAATGGCCTGGACCTCCTCTACCATAGCAACCGGGCCTTGGCATACAGAGACCTCGACTTGGATTTGGATTTACATGGTTCAGAAAAACCTGAGGATGGAGGAGGCGGAGAGCCTTCAGGTGGATCCTCGTTTACCAGTGACTCCACCACAGACCTGCGGCCACCTTCGCCCATCAACCTGCGTCGCAGCATAGACGAGGCACTCTTTAGTGAGGCCCTCTTTCCCATGAGCCTCTTTAGCCCTACAAGGCCTATCCGCTGCAGTGATCTTTCCATAAACAACCACTGTGCACTACCCAGCAACGGCCTCTGTGATCCTCTCTCAGCTGACCCTGGCCTTTATCGGACCTCTTCCTGCGTGGAAATGGCCCCTCCACCCCAGCCCCCTTTCAACCAATCTCAAGTTGACACTGTTGTAGGTGCTCCACCATCGCCATCCCTGTCCTCTTCCACCAGCTGTTCATCTCCTGAACGTTGGCGGGGCAGCTCTTCTTCCTGTTCCCTCTACCGAGCCTCTCTTGGTGGCTCCTCGCTGGTCCTCTGCCCAAGCCCAGAGAGACACGCTCGTCAGCTTCTCCAGCAAGGGGGTACGGGCCATATGCCGTCCTCCGGCCACCAGGGTCATGCTGACCCACAGAGGCACTATCAAACACTGGGCGCAGCCTCACAGGAGAGCCTGGACCTGGACATGTCGTCCGAGGCAGACCGATCAGTGCAGGAGGAGTTCATCAGTGTTTGCAGACAAATCGATGCTTTGAGCATCTGCAGTGAGACTATTGATTTATAAAGGACAGTCTGGTCAAACAAGGGTTTCACTGAGGACTTATTAAGGAGACTGTCTGCTTTGTGTGGCTAGTTGACCATCAAGGTTTTTTACAGCCAATTTGGTAGTGCATGGTAGCTTCTGCGTACACCATAAAATACCTATAGCTGCCAAAATAAAGGTTTTGGAAGTTTGAGAAGCTCTCTTATGCGATCGTTAGTGAATGTCTATGAGGGTCTAAGTGCCAAGAATGTCAAAAGCCAAAAGGTAATTTGTAACTTTTACATGTTTGATAAAGGATGGTGAAGTTTGATATAGTCAAAAGAATAGTAAGATTTTACTGAGTGGAGATAACAGCAATTTATTTGTACAAATGTTTTTATTGCATTCCAACATTCCAATAGATAGTACTGTGACTGAATTAAGCACTTATTAAATACTACTGAAGTCCTACCCTTTCATACTCAGAATATCAGTCATTAAATCTCATGTTGAATAAATGGGATTAGAATTAAGTTTGTCAAACTATAAACTCTCCATATCAATATGTCACAGATCTTGCAGTTATAGTGCAGCAGTGCCCTCTACTGGTAAAACACACACTATGTTACCTTTATCCTCCTACATTTATCACCAATGGATTGTGCTTCTACATACACTGACAGCATCTTCTATGACCGGCTTACTAATTTATTTAAGTTCAAAAATAACTTTGCTCAACACATTGTTTAATAAAGTTTGTTTTATAACATCTGGCTTTTTTTACTTGTGAAATCCAGCAATGTGACTTTGCAACACATGTTGAATAAGACAGCAGTCCATACACAGTTTGATTTATTTATTCTTCTTTACCATATTGAACAGCAAAAGCAACTTTTATCTGTTGAGCGTTTTACTGTAAACATAATCTGAAGTGATATTCCTCAAAAAACCCTGATGGATTTATTGAATACTGAGTCTTTTCCGTCCATCTAAAAAACCCTTGCTTATTGATTTGGTCGCTGGTTGCAGAGGCTACCACTGTGGTCGGAAAAATATTACAATATACTAAAGCTGAAAAAAGAGTGCAACACTTAAAAAAAAAAAAAAAAAAAACTGTAAACCTAATATTTCACTTAATACTATAGTTGTGCTTTTTAGGTGGACCAACAGGACTCAGTACTTTACAAATAAGACATTTTATAAACCTGAATTTTCTCTTTAGATGGAGATGGAAAACAAGCAGCCATCATTTCCAACTGAATATAGGTATATATTTCTCCATACATTTTCATGTACATTTTCTTGCAATTTAGCCCAATTGCAAGAATTTTGTTAGTCAAGTGATCCCTGTGCAGGGTAAAGTACATTAGCACATTAGAGAAAGCAACTCAACTTTTACAATCTGGGACATTTTATTTAAAAAAAAAAAAAAAAAAAAATGGCCAAAAGGACATCCAATACGAAAATGTTAGGAAATCCTACTCCTACATAAGCTGAATGATGACAAACGCAGCGATCCTGTTTCAAAGTAAGAAAAAGGAGGCGAGAGGATGTGTAGCTTTATGCAGTTTCACTGAGCTGTGCAGCCTTTGTCCGTCCACCCATTTCAAGGCATATCTCTGGTAAAAAGAAACAAATAATTCAGAAATAAAATAAACCTATCGAAGAGAACCTATGCCACACTGTGAGAAGGAATGAATAAGTGACAAGGTAACAAGCGACTTGTTGCGCGAATTTTGGTTTTGAAGTTACAAAAGAAGAGTGTCGGAGAAGTGTAAATACACTTGGCAGTATGTATGCAATTACAATAAAGCAGAATATAAATATAGCCATGTTTGGCTTAGTGAAAAAACAAACATGCATATCAAAAACATTTCATGCTCAATTCAACGCCCCCAAGACTATACAGGTCTAATATAAAGTTTGTTTAATCTAAAAGTATTCAAATAATGGGCAGCGGAATCTTTTCTCATTAAGAACTAATTTTTGATTGGTTTGATAAATTTTAGTTTCTTTTTTTATTTTTTTATTTGAAACATACCTGATCTTCAGCTTTTGGACCATTCCATGCCCAAAATGTGAACACTATGCACTGAGATGGGACACTGATTATTTGGCTCAAGATGTCTTTTAAGGGGAAACGTAGGACCACAGTGGTGAAGATTGTGGGTCGGGCTCTGAGTCTACTGATTGTAGGTTACACTCGAGGAAACAAAGTCAACAGGATGATCGCCATGGCCAATATCTCACACCTCTGGATCCACAATACGAGAAGTAAACAATAAGCACTGAAAATAAGCCGCTACTGTTCATTAAATAGCTCATACCTGTGATGACTTAAAAAAGGCAAAAACAAACAGATTGCCATGATATACCGACACACTGCACATAGAGACAAGTGTTTCTTTGTTTTCTTGTTTTCTGCATGTACGCACTAGTGTGTTTAAGAACTAGGATGTGAGAGGCTTCAGTCGGGGAGCGTGCTGGTAAGCGTCGATCGCAAAAAAAGCCAAAACAAAAAGATGTTGATGGGATCTGCACCATGGCTGTTTTAGACTCACTAGTATCAACAGGACACATGAACACAGTGCGCCTTCACTTCGTTTGTCCCAACACACATTTTAAACTTTAAATCACACACTCTGACACATACTACCCTTAGTTCGCCAGAACACCCACACAGCTCATTCTCGCACTACTATCAAACACGCATGCAAAATTGGGATCGGCTGCATACTCCGGATAAAAAGGTGTGTATGTCATTCCCGAAGACCCTGACGCGCCGCTTCTTGAGTGCAAAATCCCAGGTGTTGAGAGAGTTGGGTGTCTTTTGAAGATTGAAGATTCTTACTTCGCTCTGTTGCCTCTTTCCTCCCCGAAGAGTGAGAGAGATTGTAACGATGGATACGATGCAGGGGAGGGCAGAGAGGGTGTAGTGGGTGGTGCGTATTTAAGCGGAAGTGGCGATTGAATATTTGGTCACTGTTAGATTGGGTATGTCACGTGCACTGCTGATTTGCACTCCGCCTCCCCATTCAGTAAAGCCGCTTCTCGTAACTGTGGAGGCAGAGAGAAAAAAAAAATTGGAAAGAAATCAGCAAAATGCTCCAATATAAAATGAGTATTGCTGCCACAACTACGCAAACTACAGCACACGTTAATTCAAGAAATTGCATCTACCTGCTACAGTATTTGGCAGGAAAACGCTAAATTGCAGTTCCACAAAAGCAAGAACTGGAGCAGCAGGAAAGAAAGCATTTGTCCGCTTTAAATAGAGCTAATATTCTATTCTTGCAACTAGTCAAGCAAATAACATTAATAATAGAAAATGCTAGTATTTATTGCTGTATTGTTCCCTTTTTATGGCAACTTCCTTACAACTATGAACCAGGTTTATTTTCCAGTGCTAATGTCAACACTTAACAGGAAGTACAGTAGTACTGGAGCCAAGATGTTTCTTAGCAATGTAATAATGAAGTCATCTATGAGAGTCAACAAAGAAACTACTGTTTAGCATTCCCATTCCTGTTTTTGGGACTGGCAGATTAAATAACCTGCGTTTGCTTTCAGATGCTGAAAGAAGGGAACAAAAAGACGGGATACTGCCATTCTGATAATATGGTTGTTAACAATAATTTACCTTTGAATCATAATTCTTTGTGCATGATTCCTACAGAGGACAAAGTAAAGTCTAATATTTATGTTTTGTTGTGTATACAAGTGCATGGTTTAATGCAGGTTTGTGTGTTTTTGCACTTACGAGTGGAGTCCATGAACTCCTCCCTCCACCTGTGCAGACATGGTCCTCTTTTCAAACTTCAGCTCTCCAGAGTACATCATGGAACTGAGAAAGATGGAAACATAGTAAAAATATAATACACGTAAAAGTTAACATCTGTATTATAACATCATTCAGTCATTTCTCACACACACAAAACTTACCGGAGGACAGAAAGGCTCTTTGCCCCGATGTCCTGGCACCCATGCTGGATACCAGCTATCAGGTAAGGTACAAACTTGTGGATGGAGCCCTTGTCCTGCACCGAGCCTGACACACCCTGGGCTACCTTCACCTTGTCACCCTCACTGTGGAAAGACATCGATATTTGTCAGATGGAATTAAAGCCTTGTAAATAGCTGCTCTTGGAATTTGGCTTTTCACTATTTTTAGCCTCCCACGTACCTAAAATAGCGTTTCTGGCTGCTGGTGCTTTTCTCCATAGCGTCCAGGGAGCCCATACCACGGTACTTTTTCAGCCGCACGCCGTCTGAGAAGAAGTACTCTCCCGGAGCCTCAGTGGTTGCCGCTAGCAACGAGCCCATCATAACTGGAGTGGGAGACAGGAAAGAATTATCTGTGTTCTTATCTGTGTTCTTATATTACCCAATCTAAGATCTAACAGGCTGCATGAAATATAACTGTTATATAAGACCTTCATTCCTAAGACCTACGTGCTGTGGGTCACAATCTTTGAAACCTCACCTGTCGATGCTCCAAGAGACAGAGCCTTCACCACATGGCCCACGGTCTGAATGCCACCATCGGCGATGACTGGCACGCCGAAGCGCCTGGCGTACTCTGCTACCTTATACACAGAGGTCCCCTGGGGCCGCCCGCACGCCATGACTAGAAGGTAGAAAACATATCTAATTTGACTGCCATGGAAACAGATCAGGTCAATGAAACAAAACAAAAAAGTCAATGTGTCAGATCAGACCCTTGGGACAAACAGAAATAGCCATTGTAACTCTAACAAGAGATAACGAGATACATTTTAGGCTCATGTCCTTTCCCTGCAACATCTCTCTCCTATTCTTGTTGGTGAACGTGACCCAGTCTGAGCATGAGAGGCTGGTCCCCATGGCAACCCAGAATGGGGCCTTGGCAGATCACCATGACAACTAGGAGTGGTCTCAGGGCATTTGTTACTGTTGGCAACCGATAGCCTTTTCTTCTCACTGTAGCTCATGACCAAATTAAGAGCAGGCACAGGTGGTACCTCATGTGCTGCAGTTTAAGATTAATACACATTTGTCCCCATATTTAAAAGCCAGCAGTTATATGGTCTGGTTTTCTGGATAATGAAAATGTGTTGTAACTACATTCAGTACCTTCCTGTGTGATGCAGATGGAGCCGCAGCCCATGCCAACCCTCAGAGCATCGACACCGGCATCGATCAGATTCTTGGCCTGTGCTGCTGTAACCACTGGAGGTGAGGGAAAAGAATAAAAATGGTCAGCAAATACCAGCAAACTATTATATTTTGTTGACAATATAATAAAGCTGCAAAAAAAAAAACCAGGGAGTGCTATGTGTACAGAGTCCTGTGACTAACACTTTCCACTGATACTATGTACATATTAATTAAAGCAACACCACCACCAGCACACTCAAGTGTTTTTAACAAACTCACCATTTCCTCCAGCCACCTGCAAGTCTGGATACTTCTGTTTAATATAATTTATCATGTTGATCTGATACACCGAGTTCCCTTGTGAGGAGTCCTGGAGATGCAAAAACAGTCATGATTCAGGTGCAATGGCGTTGGCCCTGAGGATTCAGGAGTCTTAAACAGATCATTTCCACCATATTTCACCCATAGTTCCATTATTTAACACAATCTGCGCTTCCTGTATCATTGGAACAGTTTCATGCACTTTCACGCAACCTCTGCTCAAGCAATTACCTCCGGTCCGAGACTTCACACACATTTACAATATACGATACGTCAACCCACAATTCAACCATCAAAAAAAACCCACCAGTA